TCATAAATTTTAAATGACAAAAAAAATAAGAATGCATTTATAGAAATGAATTTGAGTTTAGAATATTTTACGTTATGCTATAAAAAGTGAACTCAAAAAATATAATAAAAAAAGATAATTTATATGATTGCTTATTAATTTTTCATTCAAAAAGAAATAATCAACTCTTAATTGTTGTATTATCTCGTGGCTCTACTATAAGGATAAGTAATCGTTACTACGTAATAATAGTATACTAGTCACCGGTGATTTTGAGAGCATGGGATTTAATTTACTTCTTTAATTATTTTTAGCTAACCGAATAAAAACCAATTTCGGAGCGCCAACAATCGTTGAAATATAATAAAAATAGAGTGTTTTCATTTTAAATAAATAAATGGATAAAATGAGTAGAGAGTATTCTATTACGGAGGGCATCGGATAACATTATATTTTTTTGGGAATGTCGGTTTTTCAAAGTAAAATGTTTAATGAATGGTGAATTAACTCGGTATTATTATTCATACAATTCAAGGCGGAATTTTAAAGAGAAAGATCTAAAAAACGTAAAGGAATAAAGACGTTCATTCTTTTCATAGTCAAACTTAACTGTTTTGAATTGAAATACCTCAATTAATTGAAATTAAAACAAAAAAAATCTGCCACAAAAACTTCTTATATTTCTTAAATTTACTAATATTTTTAAAATAAAGAATAGTTACTGAAAAGGTGAGAGCGCCAATAAATAAAAATATACAATATAATTAAAAACAACTTCAGTTTGGTGCATCTTGTACAAATCAAATTGATCGGTTCTGACCACTTATTTTTAATAGAAGTATAGGAATCTTAGACACCATAAATCTATAATATAATTATTGCTGAACTGCATCATGACCAATAATCAATTACAGAGATTTGACTTTTTGGTGGTAATCATAGATTTGTGGACAGTGTAAGGTTAAGTTGGAGTTGCTGGACATAAATAAACCAAATCAACTGATTTTTCGGATTTGGGTGCTTGAATCTCCTATTTAAAAGTAAAATACAATTTTCTTTAGGAAAAGAGATTTAAGAGTGGTACTGGATGACTAATTATTTATGAGATTCGCGGTTCAACTCTACTGAAATATTTTAAAAATTTTTATTTTTTTTTTTAATTACTGTGATTCAGTTCCATTGTATATTTCTCGCCGATCCGTGAACTAATTAGATATATTGACTCGCTTCTAATTTGTTTATACCTGCTTAATTGATATCATAATGTATATGACTTATTATTTCTAATATACATCACAGAAGGAAATTATGCATTCCTCTACAATATGTTTTTCTTATATATAAATGGAAAAATCTAAGCCGGTCAGACATAGTAGGGACGCCTCTCTTTTTCTAAGAAGGGCAAGGAAATGAGAAACAACAATTATTAGAAAGAAGGAATTGGGGCAATTAACATTTTCTGAGTAAACAAAAAAAAGAAAAGAGAATAACAGTTGTCCGCAATGATCATAAAATGCTCCTGCAATGATGGTCATATTATGATTAAGTGTGGCTGAGTGTATGGTGCTTCGGGTCTTAGGCAAGTGGCATACTCTCTTTGGCGCTTCAGGTTCTAAAAATGTCAATTTAAGTGTATTGCTTCAAGTACTGCAAGTCGCGACCTTTCATCGTTTGGTGGCGTGGTGCAATAAGACTTTGTGTGGAGTCGAGGGCTGATCCAAAAGCACAAAAAAAAATAACCAAACAAAAAAAAAAAAAAAAAAAAAAAAAAAAGAATTATAAAATAAACAAATCTCATATATGGAAGTCTAAATAATAAATGGCCAACCATTATCGAAAGAATGTGTTTTCTTTCACCTACTTTTTGAGCGTGTCCCAACAGAGGTATAATCAACTGTGGGTACACACAATATATGCTATTCTTTTTAGTGATGTGTAAATATAACTAGTGTTAAAAAAAAAAAAAAAAAAAAAAAAAAGAAAAAAACAATCAATTGGGTCAATAATAATGGCCAACATTATAAAAATGTGTTTCTTTCACCTCTTTTTACTTCCAAACAAATAACAACTTTGTAAACAAAATGCATTTCTTTTAGAGAAAATAATAGTTTTTTAATGAAGAAAATACTTTTTAAATAACTTATTTTGTAGTAATAAAAAATAATAATATTTGGAGTAATTGAAGTTTCGTATAATTTTAAATTTATTATTAAATTAAAAAAAAATATATATAATAAATAAACTCATAATAATTTATGATGTATTGACAATGGTAATTAACCGCCGTTGATAACGAAATAAATGAAACTATCAATGGTCGGTGGACTATATGCATAAATCTAAACATCTATTATTATTATTATTATTATTACCGGTTATCGGGGATTAATATGTAAGTATGAGTATATATATATATTAGTTTTTTTTATTATAATTTCAGAAAATAATTTTCAAATTTGAAAAAAGAAACATTATTTGTTTATTTAGCTTTTTCTTTGAATTAAAAACTCATTGGCTAATGTTTCTAAATGCTTTAAACGGCAAACTTTAATTATTACATTGTGTATATAATTTAAAAACTCAAACTTTAATACGTGGCGAATGAATTATATATAATTATAACTTATTGTGTATGCCAATTTGAGTCATTTTCGGAAAAATATATAGAATTTTAAAAGTTTGATGTGTATATATTGAATTTAAAATAATGAACATAAAAGAAATGAATATGGAGAGTTTATCATTAAAATATATATATATATAATTTCTAAAAATATAAGTAGTGGATTGAATTTATTTGTCAATTTTAAATTTTAGGTAAAGTTTCAATATGAATTATTTTCATGGAATGTTTATTAATGTCACATTTATTGCTTGGAAGCAAGCATATATACTATATTTTATGCTCTTACTGTTTACGCACCACTAATTGCGGTTGATCATTGAAGAATAAGTGCATAACTTAAGTACATGACTAACCAAATGACGTTTTCAAAAAAAAAAAAAAAGAAACGTGTTAGGTTGCTTTCTTATTGCCAGATTAAGAGCATATTGTCACGGTCCTAGAGTCACGGAATTTGTCCGTGACAATATTCTACGGAACGTTTATTTGGATGAAGGTTATTTACGGAGTTTGAAAAGCAGAGCGCAGTAAAGCGTGATTAATAAGTTGTTAATAAGTTGTTTAAGAAGATAGATTGAAGGAGAGAAATGATTTTTTAAATTTTTTCATGGGTAGGAAACCCTTGTAATCAATCTATTCTTAAATCCATCTGTTTTTTTTTTTTTTAAATCTGTCCTTCATATTTTTGAAATGTTTCAATTTTATCTATTGAAACAATATATCTTTTAATTTTGCTCCTTCTATCTTCTGACCAATTTTTTCAATCCCCAATACTTGGTTTGTATATACCTCTTCACTTTTAAACTGGAATTTTTTTAGTAAAAGTCTCATAATAATGATAATTTTAAATTTTAAACTCTCAACATTACAGCTAATCAAGTGTGATCTGATTAGTCTTTATAGTTTTTATAGAAGATGTCGAGTCCTCTTTATCACAAAAGATATCACCAATTTTGTGAATGGATTCAGCCCTACTGTGTGACTCACAATGTTATTTCGGTCTATTGGGTCTTCCATGTATAAAAAAAAAAAAATCTCAACCTTACAAATAATAGTGATCCAAAAAAAAAAAAAAAAAAAAGCTACAGAATAATTAGTGATCAAAAAAAAAAGAAAAAAAAATCCATTTTCCATAACATCTAGACAGAAGATCAACTTCGTCTATACACGTTTCGTGTTTCTTTGGAGAGGCCCAGTTGTTTTTCCCTGCCCCTTAGGCCATTATCCAAGAATTCCTGCTGTGTAACAAATTTAAGAAAGTACCAAGTTTCCCTAGAGGATGATGACGTAACTGAGAGCAGTAAGGCCATTCCCATAATCACTTTTACAATCTTTTTGACTGTTGTGATTAACAATGAAAATTAATAATTTTGGAACAAATTTTTTGACAAAAAAAAAAAAAAAAAAAATCCATTTTTCATAACAATCTAGAAGAGATCAACTCGTCCTATACACGTTCTGTTTCTTTGAGAGGCCCAGTTGTTTTTCCCTCCCTTAGGCCTTATCCAAGAATCTCTGTGTACAATTTAAGAAAGTCCAGTTTCTAGAGGTGATACGTAACTGAGAGCAGTAAGCCCATTCTAATTCACTTTACAATCTTTTTGACTGTTTGTGATTAACAATGAAAATTATAATTTTGGAAACAAATTTTTAATATTATAGTAAAAAAAAAGAGATTATACTTTAACCATTTTTAAAGTATCCTAAAATAACAGGAAAACTTTTCAGATTTTTTTCCGATTCACACATGTATTTTCACGTTCGAGCCAATAATGTTATTCCGCATTATTTAGATACAGTCTTCGCGACTTTAAATTTATTAAAATATATGAAATTAATTTTAAAATGAAGAATAAGAAAAAAAAAATGTCAATATAAAGGAAATGAAAATTGAGAAATATTTGTGAATTATTTAAGTTGAAAAAGCATGGTAGCAAACAGGTAGTCCGGTAAAAAACACTGTGCAGAAACTTCAAGCACGTCAAGGAAAGAAATAGCAGAAATAGAAAGCAGTAGGTCATCTAGATTTGTAGGTGTCAGGGATTCTACATGATAACAACACGTGTGTCGTTAAATTTACTTACAACCCTTACTGTCAAAAAAGTTAAAATATGGTTTTGAGAGTAATAAATCACAAAATTTGTAGTATTTATAAAAAAATTATTGATAAAATTTTCAATTTTAAAAAATTTGGGGTCCAAGGTTCCATTTATTTCTTGTAGTTACCCTCTTGTAATTAACTATAGAAATGTTAATTTTGAATATAGATACTAATTTACTCTTTTACTATATTTTTTTTAACTTTACCGTTCGAGCAATAAACGCACATAATTACCATTCCCCACTAGAATTTTGACAAATTTACAAAGAAAGAAAGCAACGAATAGCGATTCACAAATTGGCGGGTGACCCAACTAAATGCATGACAGGTAATCCAACTACTTTACCCTTTGATCGTCTCTATCTCTCGCTGCTGTCTTTTTGGCCATGGGTGATTAGGAAGAAACTGCAGAAACAAGAAATTAAAACTCTTGTACTAAAAAACAAATCAAAGTTTCACTTTCACTTCACCTTCTTCTACCCAGCAGAGACTGATCAAAGAAAAGAAACATCGTCTTACAAAACCCATCTCCCAAAACAAGAAAACAAGTAAAAAGAAACAAAACCCTGAAAAGAATGAGAGAGAAACAACGAGTGTTAGTAGTAAAGAAGCATTCTTTCTTCAAGGGATGAGAGAGAAAGTGAAAAGTGGAAATAATAGTAATAATAAAAATAAAAATGAAAGCCAAAAGGGCAGAGAAAAGTGGAGATGTGGCAGCACAAAAGGAGGAAAGATTAGGGGAAAAGTTGAGACGAGGGGTTTTGGTAGGGAAGAGAGTGGGCCCATTTGCTTGCACTCCAGTTAGACTTTGGAGGTGTGCCTTAACACCTCGTGCGCATGTTAGTATCATTGCCAACAACAACCAGGAGGAAGAGGAGCCTTCTTCTTCTCTTTTTGCTCGTACTTTTTCTTTTGATAAAAACACCGTTGTTTCAGCTAGAAAGCTCGCTGCTGCTCTTTGGGACTTCCAGCATTACCTGCCTCTCTCTAAAATGCACCGGGGTGGACACAATAACAATTATAGTAATGGAGCTGCTGCTGCTGGTGATCCTAGGTTGCGGCGCCACCAGAACCGCCACCATCTTTTTAAAGACAAGGGAATCGACCTTTCCCACTTCTTGGCTGATCCTTCCCCTAGCTCTACTGACCAGGTATATATATACACACACTTGTACACTTTTGTACATGTTTATGTATATGGTAGTTATAAAATTCTTTGTGGGTTGTGATTTATTGGCTGATTGAGATTTTTGGGTTTCTTTTGCCTTCTATCGACCTGATTGGTTCTTGAATTTAGGTGTTTTGTTAATCTGCTTCCTCCTCACTTTTTTGTTTAATTATTTGATGGGTCCATTCATTGTAATAGCTATGTCACTTCTTAATGAATTTTGTGAAATTTGGATGATGGAGCTCACTCTGTTAGGTGAAATTTCTTATCAAATGCTGTAGCTTGTTAGATTCTCTTTTGGGATGCAATTGGTTAAACTTGTTTTATTTTTTCACCGTCTTTTGACTTGTTCAAAGGTTAGATTATTTTATTCGAGGATTAATGTTTGACAATCCTGCAATTGTGTTAAGGTTATGCACTGCTCTGATCTCTGTATTTTTGGGTATGGTGTATCTGTCTCTCTGATATTAACTATGTTAAGGTTTCCCTTCTCATGCTTTGGATGTTTATGATTTGCTGATATAATATCTGTCCCTATCATAGACTGCCATATTTCTTCCATATTTCGTCTTAAGATTTCAAATTCCAATTTCAAAATCAGGGTTTGTTAAGAAGGTATTACCTGAATGTCACTCCTGAGCGTGAAAATATATGTGAAAAAAAAAATTTGGGACAAGTCTCCTCTTTTCATAAATTCATACTTCTCCAGAAAAAAAAAAGAAAAAGTTTTGTCCACTTACTCTTATATGTTCTTCAAGAGGCAAAGGGATTGTCAATTACTATTCTCTATTGAATTGGTTAAGATTCAGTAAACCATAGGTCATTGAAGTGTATTGACCGCTGAATTTGTATGGGACTCTTTATGTATAAAATTTCAAAATGTTTTGAGGAGTGTTAAATATCTCATGAATGTTGAATCTGCCATAGTTTCTAGTATTGGTCTAAACCATGTCATCCATAACTACTGTCGATAGTTAAATGAATCATTATGAATTTGTGCATCTGCCTGCAATGATCAGTGTAAATTGCTAGATTACATTTCTTTTTCATACTGTACCCACTGCTTTTTAAGTGCATTTACTTGACACTGTAATATATGGGGCTGCAAATTATGTATTCGAGCCAAATGAAAGTATGGATTTTTTTTGAGTTTGTAAGATTGGGTGCTATTTCTACTACTAATCTTTTTGCTATTTCTACTTCTGATCTTTTTGCTATTTCTTAACCAGCCAGAGAGTGCAAGCAGTCTGAGGAGACATATTGCTGCATCACTGGTTCAGCACCATCGTTCAATTGAAAGAAGTAATCGTGCTTTGCAGCCTGTGTCTCCTGCAAGTTATGGCAGTTCCATGGAGGTAAGCTATCCTGTCTCACTGATAAATTGCATTTAAGATTCTCTCGAAGAACAAATATTGGTCTTGGTCGATACTTTGTTAGACTAAGTTTGAAAGTAAACTAATAACGAACCCACTATTAGTCTTACACTATTTCCCAGTGCATGGTATTATAATCCTCTATTTGTATGGAACCTCTGGCTTGAGCCCCCTGGTTTCTGTTGAAAAATTAGAGCATAATATTTGTTGAATTTAGGAAGAACAAAATCTGAGACGTGTTAAGTAACACTGTCCTGAAGGATTTGTTTCACCAATAGGAATTAATAATTAGTGCGAAAGTCCCCAGGATGTATCAGGTTCTTCTGAGTAGAATCCCAGGAAACCAGAACAGTAAAAGGAATAATGAATAACCCAGAAAAAAGAAGTAGAGAAGAAGAAATGTTAGCAAGAGTATTTCCAAAGCTTTGCTGCTGGAAAACGAAAATTTGTGGCTAGTTTACCAATTGCCACTTTATCTTGAATTTTAATTTCCTTATAATTTGACATGCATTTTTTATATAGGTGGCACCTTATAACCCTGCAGTTACACCTACCAGCTCATTAGACTTCAAAGGAAGGATTGGCGAGCCACATTATAGTCTTAAAACATCCACTGAACTGCTAAAAGTATTAAATAGGATCTGGAGCCTGGAAGAACAACATGCATCCAATATGTCATTGATAAAGGCATTGAAAACGGAACTAGATCATGCTCGTGTCAGGATCAAAGAGCTCCTTCGGGATCAGCAAGCAGATCGGCATGAGATGGACGAGTTGATGAAACAAATTGCAGAAGATAAACTAGTTAAGAAGAGCAAGGAACAGGATCGATTACATGCTGCTATTCAGTCTCTCAGGGACGAGCTAGAAGATGAGAGGAAGTTAAGAAAACGATCTGAGAGCCTACACAGGAAATTGGCTCGGGAACTTTCAGATGTAAAATCATCTCTTTCTAATGCTGTAAAAGAGATGGAACAAGAGAGAAAATCACGAAAGTTGTTGGAAGATCTCTGTGATGAGTTTGCTAGGGGAATTAAAGATTATGAACAAGAATTGCATGTTCTGAAACCAAAATCTGACAAGGATTGGGCTGAAAGAGTGGATGCCGATCATTTGATTCTCCATATATCTGAATCATGGCTAGACGAGCGGATGCAAATGAGGCTAGAAGAAGCTCAGCATGGTTTTGCTGAAAACAATTCAATAGTGGACAAATTAGGATTTGAAATAGAGACATTCCTAAAAGCTAAGCGAATAGCTCATTCTAAGATTACTGATACAAAGTTGCCTAGGGATAGGCGGCGGAATTCAATGGAATCTGTCCCTCTGCATGAGGCTGTAAGTGCACCTCAGGATGTGGGTGAAGAAGAGGATTCTGCTAGTAGTGATTCACATTGTTTTGAGCTTAGCAAACCAAGCAACGGCGAATTTAACATGCGCGGCAGTGAAGCTGTGGATGAATATGTTGATGAAACAGTCAAATCTAATCAAACAAAGAAAAAGGCGTCACGTGAAAGAACTAGACGTCAGAATCCCTCAAGCTTGCAAGTTAAATTTGAAGAACAGATGGCTTGGGCAATGGGACCAAATGGGAGCAAGAAACCCCAGGTGGAGGACACAGAAGAGGTTAAAACAGGTGAAGTGAACCCAACTGAAATGAGTATTTCTCGAAAGTCTGAAACTTGTGATGCTACTGAAGGTGGCAGTCTTGAGAGAAAGAACAAAGTTGATGAGATCCATGGATTGAATCCAAATTATGTGATTGATAACTTGATAAGAAGTCATATTTCATCATCAGAAGTTGGGAATGTGCATCTTGAGAATGATGCAGGTGAGGCTTCCTCTAGTTATCCAACCCGAAGAAATGCTAGTCCAGTTCGACGGTGGATGGCAAAACTCTCAACTCCTGATGTTGACATTTCAGAATCTTCTACTAAACCGCATAAAGAAAATACTTTGAAGGCAAAACTTCTTGAAGCAAGATCGAAGGGACACCGTTCGCGTTTAAAAATATTCAGAGGTTCCTCTTAGGATATTCAGAAAGAGGATATATAAGGCTCCTTTGAGCATATTTGATTGGCTCTTCTGCCCTATTGGTGATCATAAACTTTGTGTTTTGTGAATATTGACCACACAGTATCTTGAATATGAAATGTTGCTGCTACATCTTCAAATACAATTGTATTATTTTCATCTTCTGTAATTTGAAATCCAATTCTGTATACGAGTGTAATGCCGCTACATATGGATAAGCCAAATTTCAAGATGTGTAACAATTTTGAGTTATTATCAGATGTTTGTCTCAGGCTGAAATTTCTGTGTGCATATCAATTCATCTCCTTAATGTTTTGAGCTTGGTGTAGAGCATCAAATTGTTATGTGCAATGCATTTGAACGTTAGCTTTTATAAATACGACGTCGTTAGCTTTTATAAATACGACGTCGTTTAGACACATCTGCAACTTTTGAAGCCTTCTCACAGTTGCCCAATTCCTATTGCTTCGGATCGTCTCTTTCGTCTATCTCTGCGAATTCCTTCTCTCTCTCAAAGTCCCTCTCCACATCCCTGCCACACAGACCAAAAGCCTGCCAAAGACTTCTCAGCGTTTGAATTAGAAATGGCATCGGCATCGTTTCGGTGGATTTTACAGCTACACAAGGACGTGCCAAAAGCAGCTCGTTTCTACTCCGAAGGATTGGATTTCACTGTCAATGTGTGTACTCTTCGCTGGGCAGAACTTCAATCCGACTCTCTTAAGCTCGCCTTCATGCAGTCTACCAAGTAATTATAAAAATCCGTGTTTTGTTTGTGCAATGCCTTGTTTCTGTTTGATTATTTGTCTACAAGAACGGAGCACATAGTAGGACTTTCTTGCGGCACTGTTCGTACATTGTTCTTTAACCCTTTGGATATGTCTGCTGTTCTGAAAAATCAACTGTGCCTTAAATGGGTTTCACGAGTCAGTTATAGCTTTGAGCCTATAGACTTTTCTACTAGAATGAGCACAATTTTATTGAAGTTTGGATTTTTTGCAGTTTTGGTTATGTTCATCTGAGTAAACCTTTATATATTTATCTTGTTCGATTAGAGAACGGAAGTAATAGGATACCGTAAAGGCAGGATTATATATATACTTCTAGAAGTTACCAGGCCTCTTGATAGTTTGATTTGGCATATGTTTGCACAGCTCCAATTTATGCTCCTAACCCAATTTTTCAGTGACCACATTGTGCAGAAGGGATATTCTTCTATGCTATCATTTACAGTGACTGATATTAATAATACTGTGTCAAAACTGCTGGCTTTAGGTGCTGAACTTGATGGACCGATCAAATATGAAATCCATGGAAAGGTAATCACATTACGAAAATCTAAGTGTTAATGTAACAGGTCTAAGGTTCTCATGCAAATTTTTTCTAACAGGTTGCAGCCTTGCGATGTATTGATGGTCATGTTTTGGGTCTCTATGAACCTGCATAGTTGTTAGGCGATAAGGAAGCTTTTCCTTTCTTTTTAAATTCTATTGATGATTGATATCGACCGCTGAAACTATGATCAATATAGCAAAAGCATACGTGGAGGAAAAGGGTTCAAATTGTTTTCTGGAGTACCTGTCATGTAAGTTGTGTATCTTTGTTGTTCATGTCACTAAGTGACAGGAAATTATAGTTTGATCCTTTTGGTAGCACAGTTGCTCTTTCTTCTTGCTTGTTTTTTGAAGTTGTCATGTTGTGTACTGTGAAATTATAACTGTGTAATGTGAAATGAACAGCCACCATCCCAAAAGAACAATATAGTTCAACTTCAAGATATTATTTATATTAACAGAAAACAGAACTGGCATACATGAGCAAAACGAGCACTAGTTCCTGCGAACTAGATTTCGCGCTCAATTTGGTGAGGAGAGTCGACTGAAATTGATTACGCCACTGGTGGGCTAAGAATTATGGGCCTATACCGACTAATTGAGCCACAATATAATCAACTTGTCTGAAAAAAAACCCATGTAAACGACAGACACTCTGTTGTTCTAAATACAGCAGGAAAAATTATCACTGTCGTTGAATAGACGACACGGACAAGCTTTCCCCAACAGGAAAAGGTTCCCCTGGAAGGTTCTCTCCCTCACATCCCTTTCCTTCTTCTCTTCTTCTTCTTAGCAAAACATTAACTATTATACCAAAGAAAATGGTAATAAGGCTAATTGCAATAGCGAAAACACCTTTTGGATCTTTTACTAGTATTACTATACATTTATAAGCCCAAGAATAATCTTATTTCAAAATTTTATGACTACCCTTTTCATAAGTGATTTTTCACATATAGAACTTGTGACCTTCCCATAAGTGACTACCATGCATGTCATCATCTTCCTCTTCTTTTTTTTTTTCCCTCAAAGATATAGATGATAATGTAAATTTTCTGAAAAAAAGAAAATTTGAATTTGAATCTAAGGTTACTGCACTTTTTCCAGTTTCCCTTTTCTATAATATTAGTGTATGAATTTTGAAGTCTGATGTGCACTTTGAGAGGCAGACCTTCACTACAAATGTAAAGAAAAACAAAAAGGCACTTTGAGTGGCAAACATCCATACCATATATAGAACAATATATTTTCATCTGAGTGATTCTCAAAACTAATATCCTGTTGCAGCACTTGCACTCAAATTCAATTTCCTGTATTTCCATTATTCTTTAGCAATTTAATTATAGGATTTATGGTTGACTCTTTCAGTTACAGTTCATCACAGGAAAATTCACATTTTTCTGCCATTGACATTTCTTTCACACTTATAATGATTATCAACCTTCTGAATATATTGAAAAAGGAAGTTCAACACTATATATATAATAAAATGAAAAGCTATAATTACCTTTATAGGGTTGAGATGGAATTGTTCTGGTTCTACTAGATCTCATATGAGTTGGTTTTTGTTCTTTTCTTTTTTTTTTTTTTTAAGCAAAAATTAGCCCTAGAGATGCCTCTTAAATGGTACAAATTAACAATTATAGCTAATAAGTGCTATAAGAATATGTTGTCGTACATATAGGTTATATTTATAGTAATAATGCTAGTTTCTAATTAAGATATGATTCCATTAATTAAATATATAATCCATCTGGGAAAAAAATATATGTAACTGATCTCATCTTTTCTTGTGTTCTTGGCAAACATGAAAGAAAATTTGGTTCAATGGTACTAAAGCCAGACAACCTAAATAACTAAGGAAGAAAAATATTCATATTGCTTAAAAAAGATTTGTTTTCTATGATCTTTAGATTTGCTATTGTAATAAAAAAAAAGAAAACCTTTACATGATGCTTAGACAAGACAATGTGATTAAGAAATTAAACCACTTCATTTACACTAATTAAAACTTTTTCCAATTGGGTTGGAAACATCAAGGCCCCAGAGGATAAAGTAAGATCAAAACTTTATAAATTAACACTGATTGATGTATCTCTCTTCATAGATCTGAGCATGCAAATGCAACTTTATTATTACCAAATAAATTATTAGCCAAATATTCGGCTTTGAGCAACCAAATTTTTTTTTTTTTTAAGAGACCAGTTGAGGATAAGCACGTGGAAAATTGAATTTCCATATAGTTATAAAAGAAAATTAAATGACAAAAACATACGCAAAGGGTACTTGTGTTGGTTAAAGATGGTGCAAAATGATCTATCATGGCATGAGAAACAGAAAGTAGCCGTTGGATTTTTAAAAAGTGGAGAAAAAATAAAATAAAGCTCGTATCCATATTTGGCATGGCGTTTCTGAGGCTTAGAGAGGTAAAAGAAAGAATAGTTTCTAATGTGCAGAGAAGGGATAATATTAATTTTGTGGTGGGAATTGTTTTTCTCTTGCAGGGGGAGATTCTTATATGGGGAAAGGACAGAACCAGAGAGACCTGGCTTGGCACTTGTCATTCATTGCATTGGCCAATACAGGAAGAACATTTATCTGGTTTTATTTTATACATGCATTGAGGCAATATAATTTGAAAAAGAACCCACTTTCTGGTTGTAAAAATGTTTTCTTTCCCTTTTCTCGATCATTATCATAAATCACTCCATAGATATATTTTAGGGTTTTCCATATTGAGGTCAACTTATTAATGGGATTTGTTTAGGATTATCTTTTCTATTGTTGAACGAAAATATTATTACTGAAAATGTTGAAATTACAAATTATGTGTACTCTCCACTATTTTCTCACAAACAAAGGATCTTCCAAAGTGGATTTCTGCTTAAAGGGAACCAAATCTAAGCAAAGAATACAAAAAACAAACTAAGTAATGTACCTTTTTCTTGTGCTATCCACTATCATAAATCAAGATATAAAGTTAGAAAATAACAAAACATGAGCATCTGGTCTTGGTGGTTCAAGAAAATCACATTAGAGAAATGAATAGAAAGAAAGATAAAAGACAAAATATTAAAAGTCCTCATGATCTGCCTTTTCTCTAGTCTTCCAGCTTCCATGATGATTTGGTGGTGACACATTTTGCCACTCCTAAAAGGCAACAAAGACAAAACCAAAGAGACTTGATCATCCTTTTCCCTTTCCCAGATTAACCAGTTTGCTTTACATTAAAAAAATAATTAAGAAAATAAAGGTCTATATTTGTAATAAATGAACAATTTCATAAACTTATTTTTCTGTTTAATTGAATTGATTAAACTCAATTCTATCAGTTTATAATAAATACTTCAGATTCATTTTGTACCAAATAAGCAGAAAAATTAAGGAAAAACCATCCAAAATTTCACATGGAAGTATGAAACATACACATACATAATCATATGAAGCTCAAGATATACTTTCTTTTAACCAGAAATGAGTAGAAATGAGTTAACCCAGTAAAGAAAGCAAATCAGAAGGAAACAAGAAACAAAAACTAAGTTGTTTTAATTACAAAATGAATTAAAAATAGCAGGAGTTATTACTTGAACAGAAACCAGTATTGTATTGAGGATATTTGGGTAATTGAACCACTAGGAGACAGGTCTAGCCCGTCTGGGAACTTGTTGCAGAACAGCAAGACCCAAGAACAAGAAGCTATTGTCGAGGAGCTTCTTTCTTCTCTCCATCATGCGGTTGCCTAATTTTAATGCTATAAGCATTATTAAGCTTTTACAACTAACAACTGCACCTTCATAAACAAAACCCTAAAAGCCCTCATTAGCTGATCTAACTCAAACAAAATTATTAATATTATTAAAAAGGGATTACCATAACATTCCTTAACCCTAGTTCTTTGAAGGCAAGATATCAAGAGAGAAACAACAATGGAAATTTAACCCAAAAAGAAATTATCAGAAAAAAGAAAAAGAATAACGGCAAGCACACCTTAACAGAGATCAAAAGCAGCAAACAAGATAATGATAAAGAATTACTCATAAACAGAATGGATAAGTACATGAAGGTTCTTAAGCTATAGCATTATCTCATGAGCATCAAAAGTACTTTATAGTTATACTTTTATATTGAACAGAAGCATCGCCAACCATAAGAAATAGTATTAAATTGTAACCTAAACAAGATTTATGATTAAAGAAGGAAAAAGGGAGCTCCCTTCAGTCCAAGTACAGGAAGCTTAAGATTCAATTTGTCTCCCGCATCATTCACTCATTTACTGGGTAACTTAATCAGCTCGTCCTTAACTCAGTATTTGGATGAATGAGTCGGCAGCTAATTAAATCCTATTGCCACCCATGAGTGGACTGAAGAAAGCTCTCTTAACTGATCCTCACTAAGCACAAAACAAAAGATAATTTTGTTTTTAATAATAAAAGATTTTCATATTTATACCCTAAATAATGCAATAATAGTTTTATATATACACACGCAGATCTATAGCAAATAAGTTTGAAAAGGATTGCACTGACAGAAGAAGCTGTAGACCTCCAAATTTGAAGGGTAAAGAAAAAGAGAGACAAGGTTGAAGAAAGTGACTGTTTTCATTTTTGAAAGAGAAAGACAGAGATCTCATTGGGGAGAGAGAGAGAGAGAGAGAGAGAGAGAGATAGAGGGAGAGAAAGAGAAAGGAGAGAGCTTGTTGTTAGTATTAAATGATCGAATAGCTATAAGCAGCTCTCTCATGGATATCTGTTAGTGGGGAAATGGATTTATATAGCTAAATGGAAGGCAGAGATCAGACAACAAAAATGATTTCTTTTTGAACAGTAATAAAAACACATAAAAAGTAAAGAATTAATTAATAAAGAAAAAAAAGAAAGACAAGTTATTCACATTCTTGCTCTTTGCTTTCTTGTTTGGTTTCCATTCCTTGTAGGGTAGAACTGTAGAAGAACACTCCTTCCTACCAATCCCTTTGCCCATCACTCCCCTTTGCATATGTCCTTCATTTTCTTTAATTTACTATTACTTAATTCATAGCTTGGAATGTACTTCCCACCATAAAAAAATGTAAAAATTGTACTTTTTAGTCATCGGAGTTCAGAGACAATCTTGGTCGTATCGCATATGAATAAATTTAATTAATTTTTAATAATAATTACACCCAATAGCCTAAATTTTCATGATCATGTTTATAAGAGCTGCTCGTATGAATAATTAAAAAAAAGTCTATTAGCAGATCTAATAATATTGTTAGCAGACCAAGTTGCTACGTGTACTTGGATTTCTGGATTAAACTACTCAGTACACATATAGGACAATGAAACCCAATAAAGATTCCAGAAAACCTATAGATTAGGGTTTTCTTTTTTTCTTGTGAACTGATAAGCACTTTGTTGGTGGACTGGTGCAGAACTCCAAAACCCTAGAGTTATTTCGGCAAGTCCTTACACTATGTTTGGGAAGTAGAGAAAAGAAAATAAAGGATAAAAATAAGAAACGATGGTATTACTAATCTTTTTTATTTTTCACTCTACGTTTGAATAGGAAGAAAATAAATAGAATGGATCAAAATAAAATTATTTCCCTTTATTTGAAATCCTTTATTTGAAAAGACACAGAAGACTTTTTTTGTGTTCTATTTTATATAAAGATGCATAGGTTAAAATGTCTAATCTGTAATAGAATATATATTCTTATTAAAAGAACATGCATACCTTAAAGTGATGTGTGTAAGATGCAGAATTAGCAGATAATTATATTAATTACAGGCAGTGATTTGCACCAAAAAGCCAATATGTACAGTTCAGCATTGTCGTGAACTAGAATTACAAGTACAAATTATATCTATTTATTAATCTTGCAAGGAACCTGCCTTTTGCACTCCAGTAAAATTCCTGTTTCCATTAATTTATACCTAATTATTTAGAAGCAGAACCAACCTGGTTGTTTTGTTTGGAGTAATAAATCTTGAATTTGAGTTCTCTTAATCAGAAAAATTTTCATCCACGTGACTGGGGGTGGTCACGGTTCCGGTTCCAAAAAATTTAGAACCGGAACCGAACCCATAAAATTAACGGTTCCGGTTACGGTTTAGAACTGAACGGTTCTGGTTCCTCAACGGTTCCAAAATCGAGGGTTCCGACCGGTTCTCCAGCCGATTTTCTGATGGTTCCGGCCGATTTCAGACCGGTTCTGGCCGGTTTCAGACGGTTCTGACCGGTTCCAGATGGAACTAGAACCGTCGATTTCGACTGGAGCTGAAACCGTTACCCAACTGGTTTGGACCGGTTCTGATTTCGGTTCAGACCGGTTCCGGTTCCCACCGGTTCGGAACCGACGGTTCTAGTTCCGAAAACCGAATTTTGGCCACCCCTACACGTGACAAGCAAAAGAGTTATTTTTGTATTGCAGCTTGTAATATTATTTCGACTCATTATATTTACTAGTGAATCATAAAAAAATTAATTAAAAGAGGAAAAAAATTCATTGTATGTCACAAAATATTGTCATAGTGCTGAGATCTAAGCAAATAACACACAAATGGGTAGAAATTATAATCAACGAATCTATTAAAAATAAAACAACTTGTTAAACTCAAAAATGACAAATTACAATTTAAATTTTGAGAGGATGAGATATTGAATTTGGGACTTTTAGGTATGAAGACTTTGTTTTAACCATCTGTCCAAATGCTTTATTGACCATTAAATTAATTAATTAATAATATTGATGCTTTAGAACATTAATAATTTGGTTTAAAATGAAATTTTTTAGACTAATTAGGAATTAGGATATAAACTCCAAGTTTATGATCAAAATTTACTCTATCTTTTACAAAAACTAATAAAATATGAAGTTATCTATATTAAAATATTAAAAAGTCCAAAATAAAAAACTGTGAAACTCGAAAAAACAAAAATCTTTTCACCTTTTTTTCCATCTTCAACAATGTGACTAAATTTTAATTTTGAATATTTTAAAATTCAAAATTGATATTTTTTTATCATAAAGGGTTAAATTATCTTAGATCGATTCAAAATTTAATTTTAAACTAAATTGGACATTTATCGAAAAAATATAAATATAACTTTAAAATCTTAACACCATTAGAATGTCTGAGACGACCATTTTTGTCCACTAAAAAATAACTTTTTTTTTCCTCTTGAATAAACCATAATTAATGAATATAGTGTGATGAGAGAATGTTAAAATTAATAAATAAATAAAATTATCTGAAAGGGGTAATATTCAAAATGTTAAATAATTAGAGAAGGTGGAGGAGAAGATACAGACAGTGAAGGGTGGGGGTGACACAAAAGGGCCAATGGGACTATAATGACCAAGAGGAAATAATAATTTATATATATTTGTGCCAAAAGATCACATCAGATTCTCAGTCACTTACTGAAATCACTGTCTTGTCATCCTAAAAAATTAAAAAAAAAAAAAAAAAAAAAAATTCTTCAGTCACATTTACTGAAATCACGTCTTGTCATTCCTAAAAAAATTAAAAAAAAAAAAAAAAAAAAAAGCTGCCTTCGTTACAATTTGGTTCTCCTTGTTCTATTTTCCTCTTCTTTCCATTCCAATTCCCATTCCCAAATAAAAAAAAAAAAAAAAAAAAAAGCTGCCTTCGTTACAATTGGTTCTCCTTTTCTATTTCCTCTCTTTCCATTCCAATTCCCATTCCCAAATCCTTCACCAATTTCCTTCTTTCTTATTTTACCAATTTCATTTGTTTTCCATTTGTCCAATCACTACTTTTTTCCTCTCATCTGTCCATCCATCCATCTAATCTTTTCTCCTGTATATTATTTATTATGTGTTCATCAGAATTTATTTTCCATTTTAAATTTTAAAACCTTTAAATAAAATAGAAGATTTAAAGTATAGAATTAGTTATAAACAGAGAAAATTACTGAGATTTGCATAATGATTTCTCCACATATTGTTAGTAAAATATATAATTTTTTATTTAAAAATAAGTCAATAACATAATATTAATTCTAAAAATCTAATTTCCTTACAGTCCTTTTTCTTTCTTACAACAAAAATTTGATTATTTTTTGCATTTAAAATTGGAATATGTCTCTTAAGTTACCATAGTAGGTCATTAAAATTATCATTTCCTTTTCTTTTTATTTTTCTTCTACGTGAAGGAAAAGGATTAGTGCTTTATGGGACAAAAAAAATAGTGAGTAAAACAATTTTTAGTTTATACGAAAGAATTTATAGACCGAATCTAAATAAATTTTTATGTCGTTCTATACGTAATTTTTATGGTTAATTAGTTAAATACCAACCAGAAATCTCTCATAGCTCGATTAATTAATCAATCTTTTTCTTTTTCTTTCTTTTTTTCTTTTTTTTTTAATTTTATTGATTCTGCATCTTTAATGGGAGGAAATAAATATGATATGACAGAATAGAATGTGAAATTCATTATATTCTATAGTATATATTTTGAATCATGATGGCTTTAATTACTTCTAGTAAGCTTAATTCCACTTAATTAATTATATTAATAGATTAATCCAATTATTAAGAAAGACAAAAACATAAACAATCGCAAATATATAAAAAGATATTATATAATATAATTTTTTTGAGTGATTGGTTATTAATTTGGGCTAATGGCTTAATAATTAAGTGCTATTTCTTTATAATAAATTAAGATTTCCCATTCAAAATTTTCTGATATTTCTAAAATAACCCTAAAAATGGATTCTATGCGTACATATATAATTTGTTACAAGGTAAAATTTGGAATAAATATTATTTCACAAAAGAGTAAAGTTGAATCAATAATGTCGTACGTTGAATTGCCATTATAAATGTTTAAACTTTAAAGCAATTTTCATATCAACTCAGAAAAGCACAAGACATACAGACAACCCGACAGACATGATACAACGTTAGACAATTGCTGCAAATATTAGTATTTGCATCAGAATTCTTAAATTTCCATTAATGAACAATTATCAAACAAAAAGTGTCTTGTTTTCATGTTTCCAACACTTCAAAAAATTCTCTTAATTACAAGAAAATTAAACATTGAAAATTATTTTCATTTAAGTAATGTAATTGGGATTTTAATTTTTTTTTATTAACCACGAGGTGTCTAAAATCACACCCATTTAACGATATAAGTAATTCAATTATTTCTTATCTACTTTAAAATTGCGATTTTAGTTTGATATAATATAAATTTTCTAAAAAAAAGAGAGAAAAATATAGCTCTTTTTGAATCCAAACCTAGAATTTAGTTTATATGTATGAATGAGGATTATCAAGTTGCTAGCATGGTGACAACCTTAGACATGTTATATTTGTAGGTTTATGTCATTCAATAGCTTTAAATTATTGAGTTAGCTACGAGTCTTTTGTAGCTGTGGGTGGGCACACGTGTGTCAAATCTTTCTAAACAATTTCATATTTGACTCGCAATTTATGGAAGAGTTCACTTTTTCCATTAAGCCATTTATCCTGTATCATATAGGAAGAGAAATGTACATATATTTATATATAGGCAGTGTTCGTCACCAGCTTTTTAAATAATTCAAAATGTTAAATATTATTTTTTTATAGTGTGTTTGGTAATAAAATATTTGAAATAATTTTTAAAGGTTAATGTAGCATTTTGTTAGAAGTTAATCATGTAACGGTTAATTTTTAGCATTTTATAAAAAGTTATTCAAACAACTGACAGTTAAACAAAGCTACTAAAACAATTAACCGCTGTTAAAATATTTAATTTTAATGAACAAATTCTAAATTAATAATTGCAAAAAATCTATAAAGTTTGGTGTATTTAGATTATTAAGGCTGATGGTAATATTGTTGTCGTATTAACTTATTATTTTTGACATATTTTATTACACCTATATGTATGTTTAAAAATATTATTTTTTATAGTATTCTGCAATAAGATGAAATCACAATCAAGAAAATGTTAAGTTTAATAATTGAAATCAATGGAATTGAATGGTAATAAAAAAAGTGTTTGATTTAATAATTGAGCATCAAATATTGAAATTTCAAATCTTTGATTAATTTTTGGGTTCTATAATTGAAGCTTTTATTTTTATTTTTATTTTTATTTTTGGGTGGCATCATGTTTTGCATTTATAGGAAAATTTAAGAAAAAATTGTCTAGTTTAGGGGACAACATTGATTTGCATGATCTTGTTAGATATTTGGTGTATCCTCTGTGGGGGACTATACCTTATTATCTCTTCCTCATTAGGGCAACAATGGAAATAAAACTCATCATCCTTTTCTGTCACTTAATGTTTTTAAATTCTATTTATTAATCATTATTCTTTCCCCCTCAATTTGAAGATCTAAGAACAATTTTTCTATCCTTGGAAATGAGTCTGAATGCTCATGGGTAGGGTATATGTGGAATTTTTTTGGAATTAAATGAAATGGGTCGAATTTTATTTATATTTTTAAAAGAAAAATATAGGTTTACCTTTGAAAAAATATTAAGGGTGTGTATTAGGTTTTATTTGAAATATTTATATACCATCCTCGTACTTTTTTTTAAATGAAATCAGTTTTATCCATTCCATTTAAGTCGAAATTAGATGATTACCTATTAAATTAGATAAAATAAGCATTCTTATAAAGAATTTAAATTCACATATTGTAAATGATAAATGTTGCCTATTCATTAATTTTTTCAAGTAGGTTTAATCTCATTATTTCATGTTTTTTTCTTTTTATAAATATAAATTAAACTCTTGAAATTTGAACATATATTCATTCATTAATCTAATGAGAACTAACAATAATAATAATAATAATAATTACATAAACAGAAAAAAGAAAAGAAAATTTCTGTAAATGAAGAAATTATTGTTAGGAATGCTTCCCCTTATGGGTATGCTTAACGGGATTCGACTTGACCTATGAGCTTCAGAGTAATATTGCCCTATCTCTATATGGTGAAGGTGCATTCCCTCTGCTGTTAATTGTTGAAACTATGGTAACTAAGTAGAAGTACTTCTTTTCTTTTACTTCGATTCCACCAAAGTTTGATTTGGTTTGGACAAGACAAGTACAGTTCAGTTCATCCACGACCATAAAATAAAGAACTGTACATTTCCTTTGTCCTTGCTACATAGTATAGGACATTTATTCTTACCTGTTGATACCTACAATTCGACCGTTGCCACTTTTTAATTTTTCTGTTTTACAATTATGGCACTTTTTTTTTTTTCTTGGATTCCTAAAATAAAATTCAACAATTTAATGAAATGAAATGATTATATCTATATATAAGAATTCATTAACCTTATTTTTCTATAATTGGATTGTAAGATGGCGGTTGATTCAATAGTTTTCATGTATTTGATAATTGATGTATTATAGTTAGATATAATATGTTTGGTAAATATTTTAATTAGTTGGATAAACCATAATTAACTTTAATTTGGACTTTTTTTTTTCTATCAATTACTGGCTGATTTATTTTATATTTTATTTGTATTAATCCATTAGATTAATTAGTAACGAATATTTTTATGTAATAGTTGTATTAATTTATTTTTATTAAATATTATTTTTTTATTTTTATTTTTTATGTAATAGTTTGCTGTTTTACATTAAAAAAAATTATAGCAAGTACTAGAAGAGGAAAAGAAAAAGAAATTCTTAGGAAATAATATAAAATGAAACAAATCTAAATGAAAACTAATAATAAAAAAGCTCATTAAAGCATGGATTATCTTTATATTACAAGAGGCACAAAAAGAAAATGATATGGTTTGCAAGTTTTTTAACAAAAAGAAGTTCAAAAAAGAAAACAAAGCCATAGATACAACGCAAAAGAAAGTTGAAAATGTAAAAGATTAACCAAAAAAAAAAGAAAAAATAAATTAAACCACACAATCCCTTCATAGACGGGCGAGGGAAGGAGAGAGAGAGAGTCGCAGACAAACATCAGCAATAGGAGAGAGAGAAAGAAAGAAAGAAACAAGTACCAATGCAAACCACAAAGACACAAAGACCTCTACAGACCCATTTCTTGCTTTATTGGACAAATGGGGTTGTCCCATGAAATGACCTTATACTTGAAAAACACAGCCTAGCAAGCTTAGCTTAAACAACTCTTTCTTTTTATTTTTATTTATATTTTTTCCTTATCATCAGTTACCTTTTCTATACATAATATCAACTCCCATCTTCTTGTCATGATGGGCTTTTGCCAGGTTACCTGCCTCACATGCTTCGGTCCTTTGAATGGTTTTCATTATTATTATTATTATTCCATCTTCTTTCTGCATTTTCTTGGAGTTTTCTTGGATTTCTCTCTCACTTGTCTTTCTTGTGGTCTCACTCGTAACTGTTTCAATTTTCAGGTTTACCAGTCTTTTTTACATTTTTGGGCAATCACTCCAAAACATTTTGCTATCACATGTCTCAGACAAAGATTCTCAATTCTGAGGTTTATCATATGTTGCCTCTGCATTTCCTACTTACATATTCCTTCTCTTTTTTCTTTAAATAAAAAAAAAAATGGAAAATTCATTCATTCTTCTTCAATTAATCATGATTAATTATGCTAATTAAAAGAAACTTGTAGTTCTTGTAACCAATAATTATTAACCTAATATATATATATATATATATCATTTTGCAGACAGAGCCTGTACAGTGTACTCTCAGCTGGACAGAAATGACAATAATATATATTTTTTTTTGGCAGAGAGATAAGTATATCAGGAAAATAATTTCAGCTGTATGATTTGTTACTTGTTTGGGAAGTAATATTCATGCCTAAATCCACGAAGTTGAAAATGTATATTCATAATCTATAACCAAACACCCAATCCCACATTTCCATGTTTCCAGAAAAGCAAGAAAGAAGAATATTTCATTTCGTAGATGCCAAATATATATATATATGTATATATATTATTTTGGGTTGATATGACTTTGCAGAGAAAGTAAATTATTAATTAGTAACTAATTAATTCTTGAGATGCTTTAATGCGTAAGCTTAAAAGTAAATATTTATGGTATAAAAAGCATAATTAAAATTCCTCATGTCTGCTTGAGTAGACAATTAAGAAAAGTTTCTAAAATATAAACAAATTCATGATTCATGGAAAATGCTATGCTTTAATTAATTTAATTAGGCAGAATTTTTAGCTTTTAATTTCTAGTATGTTGCTTTTCAACCGTTGATGATTTGATAAAAGTAAAAGATTCACATAAAACCCTGTACTTATATGTGGAACCAACGCAAATATCTTTTTTTTTTTTTATGGATTTTTATTCTTTTGTCGTCTTAGATGATGTTACGTTCAATCAGAACATAGTGTATATATTAATAATTTGAACTAGTTGATAGATTATTAAAAAAAAAAAAAAAAAAAAAAAAAAAAAATTATTAAAAAAAAAAAAAAAAAAAAGAGAAAGAAAGAGAAAGACTACGGGGATCTGGGATTTCCGGTGGGGTAAAGAAGTTTTTGGTTCAAGAGAAGGCTGTCAAGTCTAAGACCTCTAGGCCCATTTAATGTGTCATTATAAGGAAGCCCAATGTGAATTTCAAAAAAAAAAAAAAAAAAAAAAAAAAAAAGAAAGAAGAAGAAGACTACATGGATCTGGATCCGGTTGGGTAAAGAAGTTTGGTCAGAGAAGGCTGTCAAGTTCTAAGACTCTAGGCCCATTTAATTGTGTCATTATAAGGAGCCCAATGGATTTCAGACATCTGGGCTCCAGAGCCTGTCTAACTTATTAATGCGGCCCAAGCAATGTCTAGAGTCTGTTGTATGCTACCGTGTACGAATAACCATTCAATTTATTCTATTATTAATCTAATGGGTATAGAGTATTTGTGAGTAATTCAATTTTCAAATTTTCAACAACTACTATTCAATTCTAAACTAACAGCCTGCTACCAACAGAGCAGGATTCTCTTCCTATTATGTTGTTGTGGATGGTGATTTATGAAAATCCATTTCAATCCTACCTTTTTTTTTTTTCAAGAATCACAAATAAAATAAAATGAGTATTACTCAAAATATTAATTATATTAAAGTTAAATATAAATAAATTAATGAATTATTAAAATGTTTTCAAATTTTATAATAATTTTAAATTTCCTTCCCTTTTTAAAATTTTGTTGAGGAGGATACTTCCATTTTGGCAATAGTTTAAAATTTACAATATTATAAAAGAATTTAATTATTAATAAACGCACCGTTTAAGGGTAAGAGCAATTAGTCCTCGTCAAACGACATCGCCATCATCGCTCAACGGACTTTGCTGCGTGCAGTAACAGCCAGAGACTAACCACCAAAACCGTAAAATACCAAACTGCCATCTCAAAGCAATTCTTTCTTTCTCTCGTCTCACCTTCCAAAATTCGCTGGTTTCTAGGTTTTCTGGTAGCAACAAAAGCTTTCCGTTACTTTAAATTTTGATTTAAGAATTAGTATTTTTGGGCATGAGAGTGCCGAGTGCGGACCTCTTCGATCCCCGAACCATCATGGATTCTGATTACTCTCCTGGTGGCCTCGATGGCTCTGGTTCAGACCCTGACTTCGCCTTCGCCTTCAACGATAGCAATTTCTCCGATCGTGTACTTAGGATCGAGATCATCCCCGATTTGCCCGAGACGAAATCCGACGGTGACCCTTGCACCAGCATCGCTGACTGGGCACGCAATCGCAAGAGGCGAAGGGAGGACATCAAGAAAGAAAGTGGTAACCTTTTTATTTTATTGAAAAGTTCTAGTCTTGTTGTTCAATTTTGGGTTTCAAATCAAATTGGATGGTTGCTTTAAATTTAGTTTCCAATTTAGGATTTGAAGTTTACATGGGTATTTGTTAATGGTGGTCTCGGGTTTCAAGTGAACAGGAGTAAGCTAAATGTGCAGTGTAAATTTTTGCTTTTCTATGTTGGTCTTCTTTTGGCTGATTTTGCATATGGTTGCTGTTTCTGGGATTAGCTGCTGAGGTTATTGGGCAAAGTGAGGAGCAGATAATAAATGTTAACATGCCAGACACTGAGGATGTTGTGGTCTATGAAAATCAAGACGAAGAACCTATGGCAATGGTTGAGGAACCTCCTACAGATGCTGATTTGAATTTGAATCAACTTGGTATTTGCTTTTGCTGTTTACTGTATTGCATGTGCTTTATGACCGTGTTAAATAATAAATCCTTGCTGCTTATGGAGATTAGTTGATTGTATACTTCCTTCTATAGGTGATGATGCTTCTACTAGTAATGACTCATCCTGGAATATGGATTGTTCAACCGTCCTAAGAGTCAAGACTCTACATATTAGTTCTCCAATATTAGCAGCTAAGAGTCCATTCTTCTACAAGGTGAGGGGTTCTATCCTGTTTTGCACTGCCTCGATTCATTTACCATTTTATGGATCTTTATGAGCTTCAGTTGTTTCTTCTAGTTATTCTCAAATGGGATGAGGGAGTCAGAGCAGCGACATGTCACTCTACGGATACATGCCTCTGGTAAATACTATAATACTTCATTACTCTTGTATGCTGGTAAAAAAAGTTGATTGGTGGCTTACTTGTCATGTGAAAAACTTGAATTCTCTTTTCTTAGTGTGGAACTGGCTCGAATTCTTTCAAGTCTGCAGTAATCAGTTATGCTTCATACTGTTTTTGTTGGGTCCTTAACATTGCTAGTGCTGTAGTTGCAACTAATTTGTTCTTAAGAACACTTGTTAATGGTTTGGTTTTCCCCCTTATTTGTCCTTGAGCAGAAGAAGCCGCCTTAATGGACCTACTTAATTTTATGTATAGTAGTACCTTATCAACAACCACACCTACTGCTTTGTTGGATGTGCTGATGGCTGCTGACAAATTTGAGGTGGCATCGTGCATGAGATATTGCAGCCGGCTGTTGCGAAATTTGCCAATGACCTGTGAGTCTGCATTGCTTTACTTGGACCTTCCTTCTACCATTTTAATGGCTGAAGCAGTTCAGCCACTGACAGATGCTGCTAAGCAGTTCCTTGCTGCACGATACAAGGACATAAATAAGTGAGTCTCTTTCTTATTTGCAGTACCAGTTTTGTTCTGGTTGACAGCTTTTCTGCTAATATTGTGGTATTTTTCACTTTATATGTCAATCTTGCATGTGATATCCATTTAGTTTCAATCAATGGCATCTTTTTTTCTTTTTTTTAAAAGATCTTTTTGAGACGGATTAATGGCATTCCTATTTGAAGACAATTTGGGATGTTTGCTAATATGGTGTCACAGGCTATACTATAGAAGTGGAACAAATATGATAAGCTTGTATATTTTATTCTCTGCACGGTATACTGATTTCTTGTGGGATTAGGGAAATATTCTCCATGAGCCTGTCTATGCCCATTTTTTTACTGGTTTTTATTCTCAAGTTACTGACTCAAATTTTTTTTTTTTGCTGCATTTTTTTTAGGTTCCAAGAAGAGGTCCTTAATTTGCCATTGGCTGGTATTGAGGCAGTATTATCCAGTGATGATCTTCAGGTAGCTTCTGAGGATGCTGTTTATGACTTCGTGCTAAAGTGGGCTCGTACTCATTACCCAAAATTGGAGGATAGGCGTGAAATCCTTGCTACACGGCTAGGTAGACTAATACGTTTCCCATTTATGACCTGCCGAAAACTGAAGAAGGTGTTGAGTTGCAATGACTTTGATCCTGAAGTTGCATCCAAGGTTGTACTTGAGGCTCTCTTTTTCAAGGGTGAGACACCATATCGGCAGCGTATACTCGCTGCAGAAGAAGCTAATTCTGCCTATCGTCGATTTGTGGAGCGAGCTTATAAGTACCGACCAGTCAAAGTGGTGGAGTTTGAACTTCCCCGTCAGCAGTGTGTTGTATACCTGGACCTGAAGCGTGAAGAGTGTGCACATCTATTTCCAGCTGGGCGTGTATATTCACAGGCATTTCACTTGGGTGGTCAGGGATTTTTCTTGTCTGCTCACTGCAATATGGACCAACAGAGCTCATTTCATTGTTTTGGACTGTTTTTGGGAATGCAAGAGAAGGGATCAGTAAGCTTTGCTGTTGACTATGAATTTGCAGCAAGATCAAAGCCATCTGAGGAGTATGTGAGCAAGTACAAAGGGAACTATACCTTTACAGGAGGAAAGGCTGTTGGGTATAGGAACCTGTTCGGTATACCCTGGACGGCATTCATGGCAGACGACAGCCTCTACTTCATCAATGGAATCCTCCATCTCAGGGCAGAACTTACCATTAGACAATGAATCATTGTCTTGAAAAAATGCGTTTTTCACCTAGTGGCCTCCGGTGTTTCTTTTAAATACATATATATAACTGCCTTAGGAACATTTTGGATTCCTGACCTGGTGTTATTTGTTGTATTGATTCCTGAAGCCACATTACTGAAACGAATATGTATTGAAGGATCAACTGATATGCTGTTCTCTATTTGTCTAGATATCCAGGCTTTTGTATATCAGATTACAGCTAGGGTCATCGGACTATGGTTTCTATTAATCAGTCAAACTTATAGTTAATTTGTATATATATCAGATGTTAAACCCTTCTGCTATTTATACCAGCAGAATAACGATCACGTAGTGTACCTTAAACAAGATAAAAGAAATGGTAGATGAAAATATTTTCATGGGAAAAAGAAAAAAAGAGAAAAGATAAAGTCAATGCCAAGTTAAACGGTAAACCACCAGAGACCAATTGGTGGCAGAACTCAGGTTCCACTTTTGGCTGCATCATTGGCAACCCATCAAGATTTTATGCCAATGCCATGTAGAAAGGGAACAGAAAAACCCTACCGTGCCTTAAACCATCATGAGTTGATTGGTGCCTTTATTTAGTGCAAAGTATTTTTCCACTGTAAGTAGATTTCATAATTTTCCGCTTACCTACTAATTTCTTTCTTAAGTCATCAAACAAATTACTCCAAACAAAAAGTGTAAAACTAGTACTGATTTTCACTTTCTTGGAACTTCAATAGATTGTTAGATTGAAATTATAAAATCAAGACAAGCATTGGAGTGTTCTAGTTGCTTCCACAGTAAGAAGAGCAATCAGCGGATCTTTGTACTGATGATAATGCAAATAATCCTCCTCTCCCCACCCCCCCTCCGCATGTTACGGGATAAGATTCTGCCAGTTTTTTTTCTTTTCCAAACATTTTAAGAAGGGCTATTGATAGGAATTGCAATAATTAGGATTCTGATTTCTAAGGAACAGGTATTTTCTTCCTTTTTCTAATTCTACAAATTCTCCTATGTGAGAAAGCTAATCTATGATATCATTTTGCAGTGAGAAAATATCACCCATTCTGTCTATTTTGATCTGCCCTCAAGAAAGCAATTAAATTAATACTCTTTGATTGAACTAAATTACTTTTTATCTAATTCTACGGTTCTCCTCCGAAGAGAATAAAGCGGGAGACGATAAGATGATTTTCAGTTAATGGCAGAAAATAGTTATTGTATTTAATAGACGTAAAGATATAAATTGGAAAAAACTAGAGAATATTTCTCAACTTTCGACAGATAATTTTGGACAGATAAAAGTATACAGAAGAAATAAAAACCAAAAAAAAAGAGAAAAGGGACTTGTAATGGCATCAAACAAATATGACATGAAGCCAATTCACAGACACCAGGGTTTAAGTCAACTACAAAAGACTTCCAATTCTTTCTGACTGAGTCCCCACCATAAGCATGCTTAGACAAGCATCATCATTCTACAAAAATTTTAATCAATTTTCCAATGTTGGCTTTATGCTAATTAAAAGTCTTTATGGTGATCAAGAAACACACACATTTGTTTCTGATTAGAAAGATTGCTGTTTCTTAACCAAAACAAACAAAACATGAGCTTTTCTATTAGTATTATCTGGTTAGTTCTCAGCTTGTATTTTTCACCATCCATGGTTCTTTGCAGCTTACACAACTATACTACTAATTCTTTGGATGCTTTTCTTCAAGATTCTGCTTTCAAGACTCTAGTCCATCACCGGCCGCAGACTGGTGCTCTGTACAAAGCTCTTCTTCCTGCAAACCTTTCAGGCATGGAGGTTTCTATTGTACGTCTTCGAAGCCGCAGGTTATGGAATATTGGTGCTAATTTTAGCAATTTTCAGATTCCTTCAAGAACCAATACAATGCCTCATGTGAAGAGAATGGCTATAGTATATCAAGATTTGGGAAATTGGTCTTCTCATTATTACAATGTTCCAGGCTACTCTATTGTAACTTCTGTTGTTGGGTTTAAGGTTTTTAACGCATCAAATGCAAGAGATGACATTGTTAAGAGGATTAGTCTTAATACAGGAGGAAGGAGTATCGTAATTCATTTCTCTAATTTGACATTTCTTGAAAGAATGGTCAAAGGGATCAAATGCGTAGCATTTAGTGAAAATGGGACATTTAAGCTTAGTGAAATGAACAAGATCAATAATGTATGTTATTCTCAAGATCAAGGTCACTTCTCTGTTGTGGTTCCTTTCGAGAAGGAGAGCCAGAGGAAGCAGAGGAGGCTGTGGTATTTATGGATACTAGGGTTTTTAATTGGTATTGGAGGACTTGCTTTGGTGGGTTATTTTGGATTTGTGTCTAAAAAATTTTTGAAGACACAAAAGATTCAAGTAATGGAAAGACAAGCTGATGAAGATTTGGTTCTTGAAACCATATGGGTTGGTAATAGTAAAATGCCTTCTGCAACAGTAACAAGAACTCTACCAACTATTGAACATGGAGATTTTCCTTAGATCTCTAATGGTCTTTCTTTGCCTTCTTTTCTTTTTAGCTTCTGTGTTCTTGTTCCCTCTCCTGCTTCTTTTTTTTCTGGGTTAGAGCCTGAGGTATAAGATGTGAGGTTTAATAAATAATTTGTTCATACTTCATTTTGCCCTGAATAGTAAATAGTAGTTGACTGTGCATTATCGAGGTAACTTAGTGGGATTTCAGTGGATTCTGATACTAGCGTCTGATTGGTCTGATTACATTCAAGTTAATAAGCATTTTCATGCAAAATATTATCTATTTTATTGAATTTAATTCAACTAATTTTCAAGAAAATAGGAAATTTCAATAGAATTTTTTGAGCTGTCAAACTTGTTAATTTCGAATTTTCAAATGAATTACATGGAATTTTTTATATTACATTTTCATGAGTGGTGATTTATACCCCTGCCCTGGAAGTGCAGTTTCAGGCATCCCAAAGCAGAAGAAGTCAAATACAACCGGCACTTTTTGAAAGGGAACGCCATCTCTCAGAAAAATGCAGGTCAAATGGGATTAAGAAATCTTCTCTGCAATAAAACATCAAATATATTCTTCAAGGAGACAAATACTTATAATAGTAATGCAGCCATTTTAACCAACATGATAGAAGTTGGAAGTAGCCTTCTGATAGCCATCACATCAAATACCTTTCATTAATGCAAGAAGTGGTCAGTATTTTTCACTTGGCAAGACGTGATCTCCTGTAGACAATCTCTAATATTGCATTTCTAACTGTAGAAGACATTGGTGAGAACACTAAAATGTCTCGGTACAAAAAAAAAAAAAAAGAAAAAGTCTACAAATGATTTCACACACTATTTTTATCTTTTTAACGCTAGTAACTTCTTTAGCTATTCGTACTATCATATCAAGTGAAGTTTGCATAAAGCTACAAAAGAAAAATAACTCATACATGTTGCCTCAAAAGCCCTGACATATAACAGGGTTGATTCGAAGAATAAAAAATCATTACTTGTCTCTGTATAAATGCATACTAATTTAGAAATATAGAATTCAAGCTTCAAAATTAACAAATCATCATTTGGTGTTGAAAACGAACAATCAACTGATAAAGCCATCATGTTTATTTACCATAAACAATGTTGGCAAGTAGCAACCAACCTCTTAACATATTTGCCAATGAAACATATGACATCAGCATTGCCACAAACAAGTAAAATGCATCTCAAGCACATGTCTTGTCAGTTCCAAATCAAATAGCCTCACAAGAGATTGTAATATTATTGAGACGATGCGAAAAAGTTAAGAAATCAAAAGCATAATCGAACCTATCCTATCTAGAACTAAGCAGAGTACAATTTCTAGATCCCAAGGGGCATGCATTTCTTATTAACAGTAAAAACTGTGAGGCTAAACAATAGTTGGTATGCCAAGGCAAGAGAATCCCAATGGGACATACAACTTCAATTCAAATGGAAACATAATCAAGACACATCTTAAACAAAGAAGCAAAACAACCACGAAAAATGCTCAGTTGAAAGCACCAACACCGGCGCGAGCAAGTTTTGTCCACTCAGTATGGAATGCCCCGGGCATATCAATCCTTTCATAAGTATGTGCTCCAAACAAATCCCTCTGAGCCTGAACAAGATTTGCCGGTAGCCTAGCACGCCTATAAGTGTCAAAGTAAGCAAGACTTGCGCACATGCCTGGAGTGCTAATGCCTGCTGAAATAGCCAAACCCACAACTCTTCTCCAAGCTGCCTGCCTCTGTACCATCTCCCTAGCAAATTCAGGATCCACAACTAAGCTAGCCAAATTGGGATTCCTCTGATAAGCCTTCTTAATCCTATCCAAAAACACTGCCCTTATAATACACCCACCTTTCCAAATCCTTGCCAACTCTCCCAAATTCAAGTTCCAACCTTTCTCAACACTCTTAGCCCTCAGCAAATTCATCCCTTGTGCATAACTACAAATCTTGGAAGCATACAATGCTTGCCTAACATCATCAATCAATCTCTTCTTATCAATACCACTCTTAATAGCTCCTACTTCCTCCTTTAATCCTGCCTCCTTCAAAACCTCAGCTGCATTTTCCCTTTCCTCCTTCAATCCACTCAAATACCTACTATCCAAAGAAGCAGCAATAGTTGGTGCTGCAACAGATAGCTCAGCAGCTTGCTGGACAGTCCATTTTCCAGTTCCTTTCATTCCAGTCTTATCCAAAATCTTATCGACCAATTCCCCATCTCCATGTTCGTCTTTAACCCTGAAAATATCAGATGTAATCTCAATCAAGAAGCTCTCCAACTCTCCTTTATTCCACTCTGCAAAAATTTCTGCTAATTCAGCGTTAGATAAACCACCAACGTTCTTTAACACATCGTAGGCCTCTGAAATCAATTGCATATCACCGTACTCTATCCCATTATGCACCATCTTAACAAAATTACCAGATCCACCTTCACCAATATAAGTCACACACGGCCCATCTTCAACCTGAGCTGCTACTTTCTCTAATATATCCTTAATATTATTATACGCTTCAAAAGATCCCCCAGGCATCAAAGACGGGCCAAAGCGAGCACCTTCTTCGCCACCAGATACTCCCAACCAAAGGCGTACAAAAAAAATGAAGAACTCTACGCAGTTAAGTGTAGAGAATTTTAGGAAAGGATTTCTAAAATTGGGAAAGAGAGAAAATAGTTAGAATTATAATTTTTAGGGAGTTCTTTTTTTTTTAGAAACGCTTAGAGTGCCACTATTTTTTTGTATAATCTCTTTCGTACTACTATTTTTATAGTGGAAAATTTTTATCCCGTGAACGTAACCCATAACAGTTAAGAATGAACCACGTAAATCTCGGTGTCCCTATTTTTATGGCATTTACGGTAATTATTTAATTTTTACCGGGATTATTATTTTTTGTAGATTCGATCGGCAATATTCAATATACAATTATTAGAGATAAATGTGGTAATAGTAATTAAAATTTTTATCAGCGCTATTAACTTTTACCATCGGTAATTTTATTTTTACTTCTACAACCGATATTTTTCCGCATACTCCATTTGGAATTAGAGCAGCATTAAACCCAACAGATTACCAGTAATTATAATGCGGATAACGATGATTGAGGGGGTGTGTTTTGCATGTGCATTGAAATGTATAAATCGTTTGATTAACAAGTTGTCAAAAGTTTATTAAATAATCAGACGTTGTCCATTTAATTTATCTCATAAAGATGTTCTCTCTTCACATGCGCAAACTGTGAATAATATTATTGCTACATATATTTAAAGAGATTAATATCTTGCTGGTGAGCTTTAAAAAGATTTCAACTATTTTTAACAAGTCACGTTATGCACCTTGACTCAGTTACTCTGAACAATTCCCACATGAGTGGAATTAAAAAAAAATAAAAAACAATCGAAAATCAACTTTAAATAAAATATCAAATCACTCATTCCATCCCAAAATACCTACTCCTTCCTTTCCATTTTTCAAAGCGTCAAAATGTCAAATTCCGTACCAATCATAAGTGAATTATTAAATAAAAGAAACTAATATTCTGAGATGACAGATAAGATGAGACAAGAATCTACAATATTATTGTTAACTAATAAAAAAAAAAAAAAAAATTCAAACTTTACCTTCTACTCATTTGGTGAGGCTTCAGCGTCGCCGTACCCGCAATTTCTGCAGTGTTTACTGCGGAATGCGTCGGCGGCGAGACTGTAGTAGCTATTTTCATGAGCCTCTGCTCATATCCATATTTTTCTGTGTTTTTGTTGTTTTGAGTATCTTGCCTGTTAGGACATTGAACAGTAGCTTGGAGTGGAAGGAGAGAACGCGGGAAAAGAAAGGGGTTTGGACTCTTAAATGACGAGTTTAGCCTTATTGGATTTCTTTACGTATGCGTTACAACTGGGGATATTACTGCGATTTCGCAATTCTCACGGCGCGTTATTTAAAGTGCAAAGTAGAAGGCGGGAAACGTTTCAGCCTGGAGAGAAAAGTTTCCTCCGCTTTCTTTACTTGTATTTGTTTTTTACCGGTGCAACGACGTCGCTTTTCAAAGCGGCAGGCAGCCCATTGATGACGTCGAGTCATCAAAGTAGATTTTTGTAATAACAAGTCCTTTAATTTGTTTTTTATCATTCACCTAAAATATAAAAATAATAATAAGTCCTTTAATATTTGGTTTATATAAATAACCAAAATATAAAATTCAAATAAAAATACATTTAATAAATTAATTAAGATTTGTTAATTAATTTCTTTAAATATATCCTAAATGAAATTTTCAAATATCCAAGTGTATTATTTCTTTCTAAAGTATGATTTGAATATAAAAATTAATATGTATTAGAGAGGAGAATTTAAAATTAATAGTCTTTACCAATGCATAAAAGGCACTTATGAAAATTGTACAACCTAAGAAAAGCAATCTAAGTGTATTGTTCAAAACCAATCATTGTGTCATTAATCACATGCTGTGCATATATCTCTGTGTTCTTGGTTCTATAGTTACTAAGTGCCTAAATGTACAACAGAGACTTATATCAATTCCCAACTTGGAATTCTCCCAACTTACAAAATTAAGCAAAATTACTTAATGTGAAATTGTGCCTACAGTAGCAGTGAAATGATCAATTATCAATCATCTGTGTAGTTCCAACTGCTTGTAGTTGGAGACCAATATTCGTTCACAAGCTGTCCAAATAATGATCCTTCCTTGTTCACCAGCTTCAGTGGCTCATCATACTCCACCAATTTCCCTGTTAATGTTTAAAAAACATACTCTTTTATATTAACAACATATCTAAGGATTATAAAGTTTGGAAATTCATGAACATTACCCTTTCATTGTTCAAGCAACATAGGATTAGGATATACTATGTATCAGTTTAACTCACCATCACTAATGCCAAGCACCATATTGCAGTCCATCACGGTCGGTATTCTGTGAGCCACAGTTATAACAGTGCAGTCTGCAAATTCTGTTCTTATGGTTTTCTGAAGGATAGAGTCTGTCGCGTTATCGATCGAAGCAGTTGCTTCATCAAGAACTAGTATTCTGCTCCGCTTTAATAATGCACGTCCTAGACAAAACCCCTGTCCGTGCTCCAATTAGTACCATCTTGTTGCAAACTGCATCGGTACATGTTATATGTGAGACTGATATGAACTTCTTCTAAGTTCTAATCAAAGCAAACGCATCTGCTAGTCTTTAATGAAAAATCCTCACCTAGCAGAATCAGCATCTTCTTTTTCTTGAATGCGAGCGGAAAGATAACACTTCTCCAGAACCTGTCACCATATTGCATTGAAATGAATTACGGATTATTCAATTAGCAGTTAGAATGTTAGAACCCATTCTGCAATAAGTTTTTAGTTTACATTTAAGAGCATTGGTTCCTATTCTAACAATGGCTGATGTTTTTACCTTTCCCATATTTCCTGGATACTGTTGCTCGATTAAGGGGTCCAAGTTGTATCTGACAGAGCCAAGAAAAGTGATTGGTATCTTGGGGATAATTTGGAAAAATCGAGACCTCAAATCACGAAGTCCAATTGTGGAGATCGTCAACGGCCAGTCGACTACTATTTGTTCCTTCTGTAGGTTCTACAGACGAAACAAGGCACTGATGAGAGTATAGTCTTATCCATTCCAGTTCTACCAACTATCCCAATTTTGGCTTCCTCCTATCAATGGTGCAGCATTATATCCCTGAAGAACCGAGTGGAGCATTGGGCTGATATCTAACCTGTTTGATTTCATTTGACATGAGTGCAATAACTACAATTCTTAATGCTGTGAATAGAAAGAGCATAATCGCATATTCCTATGTTTACCTTCAAGTTACATATTTCCACTTTACCAACAGCAGGCCAATTAGTTGCCGGTCGGTTTCTCTCTATTACTAATGGAGCTTCACTAGGAATATGCATGTACTGCTCCAGCCTTTCTACAGAGACAATTTGATTTGCTAGCAAGCACTGGGGTCGGTTTCTCTCTATTACTAATGGAGCTTCACTAGGAATATGCATGTACTGCTCCAGCCTTTCTACAGAGACAATTTGATTTGCTAGCAAGCACTGGAATTGGAGAGAGAAGATGAGGAAGATGTTTAATGAAAGGCCATAAGACAACTCCATTCCAATAATCCCTGAGATCAAAGTATTCATAGCCAAGATTTGTTAGAAAATAATGTGTAAAAAACACAAAGAAATACCCGAGTCACTGACAAAGACCTTGCTTATAATAGAATGAAGCTTCAATGTAGTAGTATTTTCGCTTGGGATTTTCATTCAGAGTCAGCTAAAACTATGATACTAACCGGAGGAAGAAGTTCCAAACTGAAGTAAAGCCATGGCAAGAGTTGTGGAGCACAGAACAATTGCGCATGGGATTTCAAGACGTTGGACAAACCACTCATTTGCAGAAATATTGTGAAAGTATGAGCTTGCATTTTTGTCAATCAGGTCAGGATTCTTCGAAAAGAACCGATCTTCCTGCCCAAAAGCTCTGATTATCATACCTCCTGCAATTGATTCAGCAAGGTGGCTTGCAACTGAGGACTTACTGGTGCCATTGATTCGCATCAGCTCTTTTGCAGCAGCAAAATAGTATTTCTATTTCATAAAATAAAAGCAAATAAGAAAATTAATCTTTTAGAATTGTTAGAATTGTCATTCTAAGAACACATTTAAAGAAAAACTTGATATATATTTATTATTCGAGTATGCTTATATGAACTGGAATGGCAATCCAAACAAGTGAAGACTGGTTAGGTTTGGGTGTTACATTTACCTGAAGTTGGATACTTAAAAAAACCATGGGAATTATGACAAATATGACTGGCCAAGTAAAAAAAGCCAAGACAGCAAAATTGCAGTAACTGTTGATGGCTGCGCCTACTGCAATTGCCAGTCTAAAAGCCACTTCAATATCAATTATACTTAAATCAGATGACACCTACAAAAAAAAAAAAAAAAAAAAAAAAAAAAAAAAAAAAAAAAAATTGAGTTCCGAAAAAAAAAAAAAAAAAAAAAAAAAAAAAAATTGAGTTCCATGATTTTTTTTCCACAAGTTAAAAATGGAAATGAAGTAATAATTTCTTACTCGGCTGAGTATCCTTCCCAGAGGTGTTGAGTCATAAAAGGACATAGGTGCTCGAAAAAGAGAGGTCAGCAATGCAGAGAACATAGACTTCGATGTGCCATAACCTAATAGAACTATAGAGAAGGATCTGAGGAGCAAAAAAATTGCCAAAATACAACCAAGCACCGTGTAAACTGCAAACATAATAACTCTGCTCATATGAGAATTCTGGATATTGGCAGCCAACCAATAATTTTGTATCAGATGCCCAATTACAAAAATGATATGGAATATGATTCCCAAAGAGAAGTACAGGAAGCCTTTGCCATGACTCAAGTACTGTTTGTAAGGCTTAAAACCATTGTCTCCTATTTCTCTTTCTTCTTGCTTAATCAATTGATTGTTTAAAGATTCTATTAATTGTTCTTTAACATCAATTTTCTGTGTTTCTCCTCTGGAAGACATATGTCTTTTCTCAAAAGCATGCACAACTTGCATTTCAGAACCAACTGTGTTCTTATGAGCATTGACAAGTTCTTGGAATTCTTGACTAGAAGCCAGCAGCTGATTGTAAGTATCTGCTCTTATGATTTCTCCAGCAGACATCAACTTTCAAGAAAATAACAAATACTCGTTAGTCCATTTTGTAAATCCACTGTCAATAGGAGAAGAAGCAATAGTTTTGAAGTTAGCTAACCAAAATGGAATTAAAGGCTGGAAGGAAATCAACTTGATGAGTAACAAGTAACACTGTCTTCCTAAACAATGCTTCCAAGACATAATCCTGCAATAGAGAACTAAGAGAATCAACTAAGAAGAATCGCATCATATGAAAAAATCAGAGTCTATATATATATATATGAGATACCATAGGAAATTAATTTTACACTGAACTAGCGATTGGTTGCTGTATGATGCATCACAGCACTAAACTGGATCATTAATAGATAATACATACTGCAAATTTTGATACAGAGCACAGTGGCAAGTATGAACCGCGACTTCTGTCCGCCACTTCAGAAGATTAACACTCTTTCTCCAATTTGAGTGAGGTCTCCAAATGGCAGCATATACGAGGTCCTTGTGACTAGAGGACATTGTCAAGGAACCTCCTGTGATATCTTACTGAATCCGATTGCAGGATCCAAAGAACAAAAATTTCCTCGCTATTAGTCCCAGTCCTTGATCCATCGTCGGATGTTGAGAAACTTGATGCGATCATCCCTTATCCTCATAATACCTTGACCGGAGAATTCTCTTGTAAAGCGACTAGAGCTTGCAGACAATCAGAAGTGCATACAATCGTTAAAGATTTATCCCGCTATTGATGAGTCTGAGCCTGCTCTAAGAGTGAAGATTACAGAAATTCAAAATATTGCTTATTCCTATCTGAGGAAAGGGATAAAGCTAACAAAAAAAAAAAATCCCAAAATGTAATTTATTACACTAGTTTCGTTAATTTTCTTTTATCCATAACCTTTTCTTTCAAACAAGGAAAACTCAAACATAAACTTGTCCCAACATCTATGCATGCTGCCACTTAACCTGTTCCGTTAATTTTTAGGAACAACTTTAGCACCAAAAGCACACATGCAAGCGAAAAAGCCGGTCGACGCAATAAGGAGTTTTCCAGAGCTGACCAACCTGCCCCACAAAAGTAAGGCAACTACCTCTTTTCTCACTTCTCGAACTAACCCCAAATTGACTGTAATTCATCTTAAAAAGGGTTGATTTTCCAGAGCCGACCTCCCCACAAATAGCAACCTTTTCTCCTTCTCGAACTACCAAATTGATATTCCTTAATGAAGCCTTTGTTGCAGAATCAGTATTCCATGATATTTCCGCAGCCCTGATAATAACAGACTCATTAAGCTCTTTGCGGCTGCAATTCTGCTTTATATTTCTATTCTGCAACTCTGGTGCTTCAAGAAACTTCACAATACGGTCGAATGAAACTTTTGCCTCAATCAAGGTTCCCACAACATCAGGGATTAACCTAATTGGTTCTTGAACAATGCGCAAACTAGCCAGAAATGTAAACGAACTACTAGCAGAAAGTGGAATTTTGAGGAAATAACATGTCCAGAAAGTAATAGCTGGTATTAGAACTGGAGATGACCAAAACAGAACCAGCTGATACGTTTTTTGTAAGAGAACCCCTATTATCCACTGAATTTCTTCACTGCGTGACTTCTCTATAACGTTCTTGTAATGTGTCTCCCAAGCATACAACTTCAAGACTTTCATGTTCGCAAGTGCCTCTGTAATAGTCTTGAGCCTGTGATCTCTGTAATAGGTCTTGAGCCTGTGATCCTGTGCTTCCATGACCTTTCCGTTGATATGTGCTTCCATGACCTTCCGTTGATACTTAACCTGCAACTTAATCAATGGATAACTTGCAAGCACTGTTAACAAAATTGCAATTACAGCTGCAAATGTTGCCAGCCCCACAGCATAGTAAACTATAGGTAAAGCAAGACAAAGCTGAAGGCTTGTAGTCCATATCTGATGAAACCAAAATGGAGACTCACCAATTCTATAAGCATCAGCAAACATAATTCACTATCTCACCAGAAGATTGAGCTACCTTAGCAGCATTGGAGAGTCGTAGTTGCTTGTGATAGATTGCTGCAGAGAGCATAGATCGCACTTGGATCCCAACTAGTCTAGTACGAAAGTACCATTGCCTCTCTGACAAAGATTCTAAGCATTTTACTAAGAGAAGTACGGCTGTCAAAACATAACCCTCGGATTTAACGTCTGCATCACCTTCAGCAACATCAATGAAGGCCTTCAGAAAAAGAGGACCAGAAGACACAGTGAGTACCTTGATCAATGCAAAAAATCCAGATTTTAGAATTTCCTTCCAATGCAAAGAAATGATTACTGATAGCATGGAAGGAGACTCGGATAATCTTTTCTGTCTCCATCTTGTTAGTTGCTCTATGTAAGCTATGTAACAAGTCTTTGCTCGATCTTCCTTCCTTAGTACTGGAATATCTTCATCTTCGAGTATTTTTTCATTACCTTTCTTCATTAATGGATTTAACCACCGATTTAACCAACCAAAATGCTATTTGACTTGAAAAATTCCAGCTTTGGCAAATGGTAGCAATATTTTTCACTTGGCAATGGTTCATAGGAAAGCACCAGCGCTGATGCCTGTTATTAGATGGTATTCCTTGAAAACAACAGAGAGAAACAACGTATAGCTCCAGGAAAGTATAGCATGCCCAAAAACTAATTGACCCCACACAATACTTTTTTCCATAACCATAATAGCTTCCCAAAGATATGAAAAACCGATAAATCCGGACAAAAAAAAGGTGATAATCGAACAAAACTTCAGAGCTGCAATTTGAGAGAGGAATAATTTCTGCTGTATTACTGTTAGATTCAGCAGCAACCATGTGAATCCATGGAATGACATTACTAACGATTCATGCACTGGAAAAATGGTATTATCTTTTTTAAGTTTCTCAACAATAATACTTATTCCCAGGCCTAAATAAGCGAAACCCAAAATGCCATTGAACATGGTCGATACATATAGCAGTAGTGGAGAGGAATCCTGAGATTGAGTTTCGGCTGCTAGTAGAAGCTTCCTTGAGACTGATTTACATATCCAAATAGAACAAACAATCAACAAAAGCAGAATATCTACAGAAATTATCAAAATGTGATTGCTACACGAATATGGTCAACAAAAGCAGAATATCTACAGAAATTATCAAAATGTGATTGCTACACGAATATGAACTGACTAGTGCGTAAAAGCTCCAACTGCAATTTTTTACAGCATGATTAGAACATTCAATATCATTGCAAAACACAGTCCAAAATCCTTCCTCCATGTTTCTGTGTGACTTGATAAATCTGCAAATTTGAAGATCAGCTGTAATTCAGCACTTAATTTGGAAGAAAACAAATAGGTAAATTAAAGAACATATCCCAAACTTAAAGGGTATAGACAAAGAAGATTTTCTTAATTGCAATCTGAAAGCTAAAAAGATCATCAAAACGTGTAGAAATAATTAATTCTCATTCTTAACTCTTACCTCACAAAATTAGTATGCTACTTGTTTAGCTTGCTCTCCAGTTGAACTATCACGCAGCAATTATAATGCTATTAAGATCATGAATAATGCAACTTGATTACTAGTAATTATGATGCGGACAACGATGATTGAGGGGTTGTTAAAATCTGAACCTGAACCGGCGGTTCCGGTCCGGTTCAAACCGAGAATTTTTGATTTTTATTTTCAAAATAATAATCACTTAGCCTATTTTGTACATCTCTAAAATTCTCAATAATATTTTACCACATGATATACTTTACTTAAGATTTTTTTTTTTAAAAAATACATTTTACTTTAAAAGTTAAAAATATAAAAAATAAAATAGTAAAAAAAAAAGTTAAAAATTATTAAAAAATAATAGTAAAAAAAGAGAGAATTAGTCTAAACTTATATTGTTTTTACCTTTTGTACCCCTTTTAAATTGTTTACTAAGTTTTAAAAATTACGTTCTTTTTGAAGATTTTTTTTGAAAAGTTTCTTATAATTTATTTAATTAATAACATCTTAAAAACAAAATAAAGTGGTAAAACTTATTTGATTATTTCTGTAAAATTAATAATTTATTCTTATATTGAGTATGAGCATTTCTAAAATTATTTAAAATAAAATTTAACCAAGTATTTTTTAAAAAATCATTATTAAAATTATTTTTCGAAAAGAAGAGAAATTTATTTAAAATAAAATTTACCAATATTTTTTAAAATCATATTAATATTTTCGAAAGAAAGATGTAACGTTAGAACCGATTTAAAAAAAGAAAACATATATCACCGGAAACCGTGGTTGGAACCGTACGTAACCGGCCGGAACTGGAACCAAACCAAAACCGGCGGTTCAAAAGCTGGTTCAGGTTCAACATTTTAAAAATTTTGAACCGTTCGGAACCGACGATTCAATGAATCGGCTATGCCTACATTAACATAGCCCTAGCCCAAGTAACTAAAACTAAAATGAAATTGACAGTGGCTGAAACATATAGCTAGAAGCTAAACTGATTAATAAATCTTCAAAGTGGCTGGTCAGACAAGCTCCCTGAATTTTAACTACATAGTCTAATATTCATGAGCTAATTGCTTACGACGAACACAGAGTATTATGTTATTTAAACCATGTGTAAAATTATATTATTTGGATATTTTTTGTTTCATAATTCTTGTTGGTATATTTTTGGGAGCAATTAACAAGTCAAGCAATCTGCACTTCAATGTACTTGTTCAATTCATGAGCTAATTTTTACCTTAATTTGAAGATTTGAGAGTTTTGAAAAATATTATTTTACAGCAGTTAATTTAAATTGAGTTTTCCAATTCTTTGGTAGAGACTCTTGTGGATACAATGATTAAGATATTTTTACCGACACAGAGTTGTACTTGTACCACAAACACAAGGTCCCAGCTCTTGTTGTATGTTCGACAATGTCAACTAGGTTTTGGACCGTTCTTAACTTTACTGATTAAAAATACATATTTAAGGAATTGAAGTCTTAGATCTTAGCTTATGATATGCAATTATTGATCGCAAAAATTGCAGAGAATTGGCACTAGCTGACTAGCATATACAATTTCAAATAATAATAATAATAATATTAATAAAACCCATATATGGGCCCTACAAAATAATTGCATGCAATATAACATTAAAAAAATTATTTTGTTAGATTAAGAGATCGCTTTAAATCTCCAACCCAATCACAATCGCATAAAGAAAAACCTACTCCTTCCTTTCCATTTTTCAAAGTGTCACAATCTCAAATTCCGTGCCAATTAAGTGAATTATTAAAGAAAAGAAATTAATATTCTAAGATGACAGATTAAATGAGACAAGAAGCTATAATATTATTATTAACTAATAAAAAAAAAAAAAAATTCAAACTTTACCTACTACTCACTTGGTGAGGTTTCAGCGTCGCCGTACCCCGCAATTTCTGCAGTGTTTACTGCGGAATGCGTCGGCGGCAGGACTGTAGTAGCTATTTTTCTCGTCTTTTATTTGTTGCTACAAGGTTGCGTTCAAAACGACATGTCGCGTCACCAAAGTAGATTTTTTAAAATTTTTGTTATTAATATTAATTCCTTTAATTTTTTTTTATCATTCACCTAAAATATTAATCTAATCAGTCCTTTAATATTTGGTTTATATAAATAACCAAAATATAAAAATTCAAATAAAAATACATTTAATAAATTAATTTCATTAAGCAAATCATAAATAAAAATTTCAAATATCTAAGTCAACTTTCATGTAAAACTCCATTAAATTTCCTTCTAAAGTATGATTTGAATATAAAAATTAATATGTATTAGAGAAGAGAAGTTTAAGATTAATAGTCTTTACCAATGCATAAAAGGCACTTATGAAAATTGTACAACCTAAGAAAAGCAATCTAAGCGTATTGTTCAAAACCAAGCATTGTGTCATTAATCACATCAGAAACTTATAGTTACTAAGGGCCTAAATGTACAACAGAAACTTATATCAATTCCCAACTTGGAATTCTCACAACTTAATTAATGTGAAATTGTGCCTGCAGTAGCAGTGAAATGATCAATTATCAATCATCTGTGTACTTCCAATTGCTTGCAGTTGGAGACCAATATTCCTTCACAAGCTGTCCAAATAATGATCCTTCCTTGTTCACCAGCTTCAGTGGCTCATCATACTCCACCAATTTCCCTGTTAATGTTTAAAAAACATACTCTTTTATATTAACAACATATCTAAGGATTATAAAGTTTGGAAATTCATGAAAATTACCCTTTCATTGTTCAAGCAACATAGGATTAGGATATACTATGTGTCAGTATAACTCACCATCACTAATGCCAAGCACCATATTGCAGTCCATCACGGTCGGTATTCTGTGAGCCACAGTTATAACAGTGCAGTCTGTAAATTCTGTTCTTATGGTTTTTTGAAGGATAGAGTCTGTCGCGTTATCGATCGAAGCAGTTGCTTCATCAAGAACTAGTATTCTGCTCTGCTTTAATAATGCACGTCCTAGACAAAACAATTGTCGCTGTCCCATGCTCCAATTAGTACCATCTTGTGCAACTGCATCGGTACATGTTAATGTGAGACTGATATGAAATTCTTCTAAGTTCTAACTCAAGCAAAGCATCTGCTATTGCTAATAAAATCCTCATTCTTCTAAGTTCTAACTCAAGCAAAGCATCTGCCTATTGCTTAATAAAATCCTCACCTAGAGAATCCAGAGCATCTTCCTTTTTCCTTTGAATGGCTGATGCAAGGATTAACACTTCTCCAGAACCTTTCACATTATTCATGAAATGAATTTAGGTTATCCCAAATTTAGGCAGTTAGATGTTTAGAACCCATTCCTGCAATAAGTTTTTAGTTTTAACATTTAAGAGCATGCCTATTCTAACCATGACTTGATGTTTTTCTTAGCCGATTGATATCTCACAGATTCATTCTCTGATTTAGGGAACATTCCTCTGATTTAGGAACAGATTACAATTAATTTCCTGTAATTAATCTCTGTAATTCCTTTCCATATTCTGTTTGTATTCTCCCTATTTAAAAGGTCTTGGACATCAATACAAAATCATCAAGAATTCAAAATCCTCAAACACTTTCATGGTATCAGAGCTTCAGTTCTGAATTCCCTCCCTCTCCTTTCTCTCCCATATTTTTTTTTAGCTGCTGCCGCCGATAGCCATGACACAAACAGAAGTCCCATCTTCGACCTCCAACCCTAAAACACCCATGACTAACATCCAATCAAAAATAAGAACCCTAGATGGTAGCACAGTTACATACACATCATGGGTGAAATTATTCAAGTTTCATTCTATTGCATACCGTGTTCTTGATCACATTGATGACACGCCACCCCCAGCCTCTACAGATCCATCGTACAGTGCCTAGAAAGAAATAGATGCCTTGGTGTCTCAATGGATTTACAGTACCGTGTCTGATGAACTGCTCACCCGCATCCTTGACACTGAAGCTACGGCTAGAAAAACATGGCTGAAACTTGAGAAAATCTTCCTTAGCAACAAGAAAGCAAAAGCGGCAGCTCTTGAAACAAAATTCGTTAATCTCACCCTTTTTCTTCACCCTTGCAGCCTGCAGTTCCGTTGATGGATTACTGCAAGAAATTGAAAGACACGCCGACCAACTGAACGGATTTGTTGACCAACCAGTTACAGAAATCCGATGGATCTTACAAAACTGGTTCGTGCGCCTTCCTCAAGAATATCGACGCCATAGCTTCTCTTATTAACTTCACAAAACGCAGACTGGACCTTGCACGAAACCATAGACTGGGACCTTGCACGAACTATGTTGAATGATGAGGTCATTCGCCAGGCTGCACGACAACAAACCACCTCTGTCCTTGTCGCTCCAACCACGCAGACAAACCAAACCCAGCCAGCCGCAACTCAACAACCTGAAAACAATCAGCCTCACAACAGTTCTTACCACTCCAATTATAGAGGCCGTGGTCGAGGCAGACGTGGCAGAGGCAGAGGACGCGGCTATAGGGGAAACTCTACGGGGACTCCTTGGGCTATAACACATCAGTCTCAGTCCGCCAATCAAACCTACCCAAAATGGGCTTGGTGGAACACTCCACCTTGTCCCTACCCAACACAAACTCCATGGCCACCAAATCATATTCAAAACACACCCAATGCCCATTATGCCGCTTATTTAGAACAGCAGCCATACGGCCCAGCACCACCATATCCCCCTCCACCGCATACTGGATATGATGCTTTAAGTCCTTCCGATCTCAGCCAAGTTTATAACACGATGCAACTCAACTACACAGATCCAAATCTGATCATGGATACAGGGGCAGAACGTCATGTCACCGACAACCGAGGTATGATTCACAACCCTGACTCTTTTCCTGTTAACACTAAACTTTTAGTCGGCAACGGACACTATTTACCAATTGAGGGCTCAGGAACAGGTTACCTTCCCATCCTTAACCGTACATACATCCTCCCAAACATACTTTACAGCCCACATATCATTAAAAATTATTAATTATCTGTCCGCCGTTTTACACGTGATAACAATATTTCTGTTGAATTTGACCCTTTTGGTTTCTCTTTGAAGGACCTCAAAACGGGACAGCTCCTTTCGCTCCTTTCCCGCCACAATAGTACGGGAGATCTTCTATCCCTGTCACTCCACCAACCCTACCCTACACAAGCTTGTTCAATCACATCTCCCATTTACCTTTGGCTACGATGTCTCGGTCACCCTGGCACACCAAGTTTAGATTTTTAAACCAAACAGTTTGGTCTTCCATTGTAATAAGAACAAAGCATTATTTTTTTGCAAATTCTTGTCATTATCTAATAAGCAAACGATTACTTTTTTATGAGTCAAATTCCTTTAGCTTTTTCACCATTTGATATAATACAACATGTGACTTGTGGACCTCCCCTATTCCAACCAAATCTGGATATAAAGTACTACATGTGCTAATTGATAATCTTATTTTTCCAATTATGTGTGGGTATACCCTCTCAAGTTCAAATCTGAAACTTTCACCACCTTTACTAAATTCCATAAACTCATAGCCACCCAATTCAACCAATATCAAAACTTTTCAATGTGACTTGGGGGGAGAATTTGACAACCATAACTTCAAAATTTTTGCCCAACAACATGGTCTGTTATTCCGTTTTTCAAGCCCCCAAACATCTTCCCAAAATGGTCGAGCTGAACGCATGATTCGTCGTCTCAACGACATCATCCGCTCACTCCTCATCCACGCTCAATTACCACCTATGTTTTGGATCGAAGCACTTCACACTGCTGCCTATCTCCATAACATCCTTCCAACCAAATGTCTCAACTATTTCACACCCACTTTTGCCTTATATCTCCGCCACCCGACATACGATCACTTACGTGTGTGTTCGGGTGTGCTTGTTATCCCAATACCTCTGCAACCCAACCCCACAAATTACACCCAAGATCCGTTAGATGCATCTTCCTTGGATACCCTCCAGATTTTAGGGGATACCGATGCTTTGACCCTACAACCGGGAAGATCCACATATCACGACATGTAACCTTTGATAAACAAATTTTCCCATACACCATTCCAACTCCACCCAAAACATACACATTTCTTGATGAACAACCACCACCAGGATTTAAGTTTATACAACCTCACCCAACACCAAACACCACCCAAACCCAAAAACGCCCAATCTCTCCTTACCCCATAATATACACTCGCCGCCATAAACAACAGCCCCTTAACCCAGTGGCCAATGCTACGACACCCCAACACACTGTCAGACCACCGCTGTTAAAACCTGCACAGAATACTCATGGCAAATGACACCCGCTCCAAAGCTTCGCCATGCCTTATGACCACTCCAAATTTCACCAAATAGCCCACACCTCTTATGCAAAAGCTTTTTCTGACCCTCATGGTAAGTTGGCTATGCAGGCTGAGTTTCGTGCTTTGGCAGGAAAATGAATACATGGGATCGTGCTCGTCCTCCTGACCGACCAGTTCATTCGGTGTAATGTGCTTTTTCGACTACAATTTAAAACAGATGGTAAACTTCAAAAGGTACAAAGCACGTTTGGTGGTAAAGGCAATCTCAACGGGGGCATTGACTGTGACGATACTTTTAGTCCGTAGTGAAACCGCTACTATACGGACTGTGTATCCATTGCAGTTTCCCGTTCTTGGCCATACACCAGTTGGATGTCAAAAACCGCGTTTTTACATGGGCATTTAAATGAAACGTTTTTTATGCATCAAACCGGGTTTCACAGATAAGAGATACCCTCATTTTGTGTGCAGATTGAAAAAATCCTTTATGGGCTCAAAAAGGCTCCAACGGGCAATGGTTACACAGATTTGCAGCCCATCTGCTGTCTCAATGGGTTTTCGCAGCAGATGTGTGTGGACAATTCCCTATTCATTTCTCAAAAGGGAAATCAGCTTTGCTTATTTATTCTGTAAGTTGATGATATAGTGCTCTCACTTGCCTCTTCTAATGAGTTATTGAACATATTATCCGCATTGCTCTCACGAGAGTTTGCAATGAACAAAGATTTGGGCCGGGTGCATCATTTTCCTGGGAATCAAAGTGACAACGCGACATCTGGTGGGTTATTTTTTGGATCAAGTCTCAATACAACAAAGGAATATCATCCCAGAGCTTCAATGTCCTCTTGCAAACGTAGTGCCAACCCCAGTCGATCTCATCATCAAAACTGAGTGCTTCTGATGGACCTCTCTTCCAATGATCCAACATTATAACCGCAGTCTTGTTGGCGCATTACAGTATCTCACATTCACACGCCCAGATATATCATATGCTGTTCAAACAAATATGCCTCTTCATGCATGAAACGCGGATCCAACTATGCCTTTCCCTCAAAAGAATAATCCGATATTTTACAAGGCACAGTTGACTACGGTAATAAGAATTGGCAAGACAAATACACATACCTTGGTAGATACTCAGACGCTTCAGATTGGGGTGGATGCCCAGACTCCAAGAAGATCAACTAGTGCTTACTGTGGTTTTCCTTGGTGATAAATTTGATTTTCATGATTTCATGGTCTTCAAAACGGCAGCCTACTATCTCACGGTCTAGTGCAGAGGCAGAATATAGAGGAGTAGCCAATGCTGTTGCAGAGACCACCTGGCTTCACAATTTACTTCTGGAATTACACCTCTCACTTCAGCAGGCCTCTGTCGTATACTGTGACAATGTTTCCGCGGTGTATATGTCTGACAATCCTGTCCAGCATCAACGCACAAAACACATTGAGATAGACATACACTTTGTACGGGAGAAAGTTCGAATAGGCCACATTCGGGTCTCACATGTCCCATCTGCTTTTCAATATGCTGACATCTTCACCAAAGGCCTATCTCGACAGTTGCCTCGACAGTTGTTCCAGTCATTTCGAATCCAGCTTGAGCGTCCTGCCCTCCGGCCAGCTCAAACTTGCGGGGGAGTCTTAGCCGATGATATCTCCACAGATCAATTCCTCTGATTTTAGGAACAGATTACAAAACAATTAATTTCCTTGTAATTAATCTCTGTAATTCCTTTCCAATATTCTGTTTGTATTCTTCCCTATTTAAAGGGCCTTATACATCAATACAAATCATCAAGAATTCCAAATCCTCAAACACTTTCAGTTTTTACCTCCCATATTCTTGATCTGTATGCTCCGATAAGGGGTCCAAGTTGTATCTGACAGAGCCAAGAAAAGTGTTGGATCTTGTGGTAATTGGAAAAATGAGACCTCAAATCCATGAAGTCCAATTGTGGAGATGTCAAGGCCGTCGACTACTATTTTCCTTCTGTAGGTTCTACCAGAACCGAAAAACAAGGCTACTGATGAGAGTAGTCCTTTCCACTCCAGTTCTACCAACTATCCCAATTTGGGCTTCCTCCTTCAATTGGTGCAGCTTATTCCCTGAAAACAGCATTGGGCTGATATCTAACCTGTTTGATTTCATTTGACATGAGTGCAATAACTACAATTCTTAATGCTGTGAATAGAAAGAGCATAATCGCATATTCCTATGTTTACCTGCATATTCCTATGTTTACCTTCAAGTTACATATTTCCACTTTACCAACAGCAGGCCAATTAGTTGCAGGTCGGTTTCTCTCTATTACTAATGGAGCTTGGTCGGTTTCTCTCTATTACTAATGGAGCTTCACTAGGAATATGCATGTACTGCTCCAGCCTTTCTACAGAGACAATTTGATTTGCTAGCAAGCACTGGAATTGGAGAGAGAAGATGAGGAAGATGTTTAATGAAAGGCCATAAGACAACTCCATTCCAATAATCCCTGAGATCAAAGTATTCATAGCCAAGATTTGTTAGAAAATAATGTGTAAAAAACACAAAGAAATACCCGAGTCACTGACAAAGACCTTGCTTATAATAGAATGAAGCTTCAATGTAGTAGTATTTTCGCTTGGGATTTTCATTCAGAGTCAGCTAAAACTATGATACTAACCGGAGGAAGAAGTTCCAAACTGAAGTAAAGCCATGGCAAGAGTTGTGGAGCACAGAACAATTGCGCATGGGATTTCAAGACGTTGGACAAACCACTCATTTGCAGAAATATTGTGAAAGTATGAGCTTGCATTTTTGTCAATCAGGTCAGGATTCTTCGAAAAGAACCGATCTTCCTGCCCAAAAGCTCTGATTATCATACCTCCTGCAATTGATTCAGCAAGGTGGCTTGCAACTGAGGACTTACTGGTGCCATTGATTCGCATCAGCTCTTTTGCAGCAGCAAAATAGTATTTCTATTTCATAAAATAAAAGCAAATAAGAAAATTAATCTTTTAGAATTGTTAGAATTGTCATTCTAAGAACACATTTAAAGAAAAACTTGATATATATTTATTATTCGAGTATGCTTATATGAACTGGAATGGCAATCCAAACAAGTGAAGACTGGTTAGGTTTGGGTGTTACATTTACCTGAAGTTGGATACTTAAAAAAACCATGGGAATTATGACAAATATGACTGGCCAAGTAAAAAAAGCCAAGACAGCAAAATTGCAGTAACTGTTGATGGCTGCGCCTACTGCAATTGCCAGTCTAAAAGCCACTTCAATATCAATTATACTTAAATCAGATGACACCTACAAAAAAAAAAAAAAAAAAAAAAAAAAAAAAAAAAATTGAGTTCCATGATTTTTTTTCCACAAGTTAAAAATGGAAATGAAGTAATAATTTCTTACTCGGCTGAGTATCCTTCCCAGAGGTGTTGAGTCATAAAAGGACATAGGTGCTCGAAAAAGAGAGGTCAGCAATGCAGAGAACATAGACTTCGATGTGCCATAACCTAATAGAACTATAGAGAAGGATCTGAGGAGCAAAAAAATTGCCAAAATACAACCAAGCACCGTGTAAACTGCAAACATAATAACTCTGCTCATATGAGAATTCTGGATATTGGCAGCCAACCAATAATTTTGTATCAGATGCCCAATTACAAAAATGATATGGAATATGATTCCCAAAGAGAAGTACAGGAAGCCTTTGCCATGACTCAAGTACTGTTTGTAAGGCTTAAAACCATTGTCTCCTATTTCTCTTTCTTCTTGCTTAATCAATTGATTGTTTAAAGATTCTATTAATTGTTCTTTAACATCAATTTTCTGTGTTTCTCCTCTGGAAGACATATGTCTTTTCTCAAAAGCATGCACAACTTGCATTTCAGAACCAACTGTGTTCTTATGAGCATTGACAAGTTCTTGGAATTCTTGACTAGAAGCCAGCAGCTGATTGTAAGTATCTGCTCTTATGATTTCTCCAGCAGACATCAACTTTCAAGAAAATAACAAATACTCGTTAGTCCATTTTGTAAATCCACTGTCAATAGGAGAAGAAGCAAAGCAATAGTTTTGAAGTTAGCTAACCAAAATGGAATTAAAGGCTGGAAGGAAATCAACTTGATGAGTAACAAGTAACACTGTCTTCCTAAACAATGCTTCCAAGACATAATCCTGCAATAGAGAACTAAGAGAATCACATCATTGAAAAATCAGATTCTATATATATATATTTATGGAAATTAATTTACACTGAATAGGTTGGTTGCTGTATGTGCATCAACAGCACTAAAGGGATCATCTAATAGATATACATCTGCATTTTGATACAGAGCACGTGCAAGTTGAACCCGCTGTTTCTGTCCGCCACTCAGATTAACACCTCTTTCTCCAATTTGAGTGAGGTCTCCAAATGGCAGCATATCGAGGTCCTTGACTAGATCGAGGTCCTTGACTAGAGAACACTTGTCGAGGACCTCGTGATATCTTACTGAATCCATTGCAGATCCAAACAAAATATTTTCTCGTATAGTCCCAGTCTGAATCCATGCAGTTTGAGAAACATATGCTACCTTACCATAAACACGAATCTGTAAAAGACAGATTCAGGTCATCAAAAATGCATACAGAGTAAGATTTTCCATGAATTGGTGCATCTAGAAAGTAAATTCAAATATGTATCATTGAGAAAGGGAAATGTAAAAAAAAAAATCATACTGTAATTTTATACCACTAGTTTTCGTATTCTTTTTCCTATAACCTTTTCTTTCACAAGAAAACTCAAACATAACTTGTCCAAACTTTATGCATAGCTGCACTTACTGTTCCGTTAATTTTTGGAACTTCTCCAAGCACTGCAGCCAAAAGGGTTGATTTTCCAGAGCCGACCTCCCCACAAATAGCAACCTTTTCTCCTTCTCGAACTACCAAATTGATATTCCTTAATGAAGCCATTCCTTAATGAAGCCTTTGTTGCAGAATCAGTATTCCATGATATTTCCGTAGCCCTGATAATAACAGACTCATTAAGCTCTTTGCTGCTGCAATTCTGCTTTATATTTCTATTCTGCAACTCTGGTGCTTCAAGAAACTTCACAATACGGTCGAATGAAACTTTTGCCTCAATCCAGGTTCCCACAACATTAGGGATTAACCTAATTGGTTCTTGAACAATGCGCAAACTAGCCAGCAATGTAAACGAACTACTAGCAGAAAGTGGAATTTTGAGGAAATAACATGTCCAGAAAGTAATAGCTGGTATTAGAACTGGAGATGACCAAAACAGAACCAGCTGATACGTTTTTTGTAAGAGAACCCCTATTATCCACTGAATTTCTTCACTCCGTAACTTCTCTATAACGTTCTTGTAATGTGTCTCCCAAGCATACAACTTCAAGACTTTCATGTTCGCAAGTGCCTCTGTAATAGTCTTGAGCCTGTGATCTTCCGTTGATACTTAACCTGCAACTTTGTGCTTCCATGACCTTCCGTTGATACTTAACCTGCAACTTAATCAATGGATAACTTGCAAGCACTGTTAACAAAATTGCAATTACAGCTGCAAATGTTGCCAGCCCCACAGCATAGTAAACTATAGGTAAAGCAAGACAAAGCTGAAGGCTTGTAGTCCATATCTGATGAAACCAAAATGGAAACTCACCAATTCTATATGCATCAGCAATTACATAATTCACTATCTCACCAGAAGATTGAGCTACCTTAGCAGCATTGGAGAGTCGTAGTTGCTTGTGATAGATTGCTGCAGAGAGCATAGATCACACTTGGATCCCCACTAGTCTAGTACGATAGTACCATTGCCTCTCTGACAAAGATTCTAAGCATTTTCCTAAGAGAAGTCCGGCTGTCAAAACATAACCCTCGAATATAACGTCTGCATCACCTTCAGCAACATCAATGAAGGCCTTCAGAAAAAGAGGACCAGAAGACACAGTGAGTACCTTGATCAATGCAAAAAATCCAGATTTTAGAATTTCCTTCCAATGCAAAGAAATGATTACTGATAGCATGGAAGGAGACTCGGATAATCTTTTCTGTCTCCATCTTGTTAGTTGCTCTATGTAAGCTATGTAACAAGTCTTTGCTCGATCTTCCGTCCTTAGTACTGGAATATCTTCATCTTCGAGTATTTTTTCAATACCTTTCTTCATTAATGGATTTAACCACCAAAATGATATTTGACTGAAAATTCCAGCTTTGGCAAATGGAGTAATATTTTCACTTGGCAATGGTTCATAGGAAGCACCAGCGCTGATGCCTGTATAGATGTATTCCTGAATGCCTGTATAGATGTATTCACCTTGGAAACAACAAAGAAGAGAAACAAGATAGCTCCTGGAAAGTATAGCATGGCCAAAACTAATTGACCCACACAATACTTTTTTTTCCATAATAAGCTTTCCCAAAGATATCGCAAAAACCGATAAAATCCGGACAAAAAAAAGGTGATAATCGAACAAAACTTCAGAGCTGCCAATTTGAGAAAGGAAATTAAATTTTGATTTATTACTGTTAGATTCAGCAAGCACCATAATGATCCATGGAATGACATTACTAACCAATTCATGGCACTGGAAAAATGGTATCATCTTTTTTAAGTTTCTCAACAATAATACTTATTCCCAGCCCCAAAATGCCATTGAACATGGTCGATACATATAGCAGTAGTGGAGAGGAATCCTGAGATTGAGTTTCGGCTGCTAGTAGAAGCTTCCTTGAGACTGATTTACAAATCCAAATAGAATAAACAATCAACAAAAGCAGAATATCTACAGAAATTAGCAAAATGTGATTGCTACACGAATATGGACTGACTAGTGCGTAAAAGCTCCAACTGCAATTTTTTACAGCATGATTAGAACATTCAATATCATTGCAAAACACAGTCCAAAATCCTTCCTCCATGTTTCTGTGTGACTTGATAAATCTGCAAATTTGAAGATCAGCTGTAATTCAGCACTTAATTTGGAAGAAAACAAATAGGTAAATTAAAGAACATATCCCAAACAAAATTAAAGGGTAAGACAAAAAGAAGCTTTTCTTAATTCATTCTGGAAGCTAAAAAGATCTGAAAGCTAAAAAGATCATCAAAACGTGTACAAATAATTAATTCTCATTCTTAACTCTTATCTCAGAAAAATTATTATGGTACTTAAGATCATGAATAATGCTATTATAATGCAATTGTAATGCTATTAAGATCATGAATAATGCAACTTGATTATGTTGTGGCTAATTCCGGCACGTGGGACCCACATGCTTTTGAAAAAAAAGAGAACACATTTTTGTGTTTGATAAAAAAAATCAATGAAGGTACCAACAATTGAAAATGGATGCGTTAATTGCACGTCAGTCAGTGGACGCGTTGATTACAAATCCTCTTTTCTTGAGTGCCTCAACCAAAGGTGTACAAAAAAAAACGAAGAAGTCTACAAAAAACGAAGAAGTCTACACAGTTAAGTATAGAGAATTTTAGGAAAGGGTTCTTAAAATTGAGAAAGAGAGAAAAATAGTGAAAATTATAATTTTTGGAGTTTTTTTTTATTTTTTTTGAAATATTTAGAGTGCCACTATTTTTTTGTATAATCTCTTGTACCCACTATTTTTGTTGTGGAAGAATTATTTGGAGTTTTTTCTATGGACGTAGCCTATAACAGTTGAAGGGTGAATCACGTAAATATATGTGTCCCTATTTTTCTGGCATTTACGGTAATTATTTAATTTTTTCCGTGATTGTTATTTCTGGTGGATTCGGTCGTCAATATCCAATACACAATTATTGAAGGTAAATGTGGTAATAGTAATTAAAATTTTTATCGGTGCTATTAACCTTTACCGTCGGTAATTTTATTTTTACTTCTACCCCCGACATTTTCCCGTGGTTAGAGCAGCATTAAACCCATCAACTGATATCAGAGCCTGGTTGAAATTCTGTCAGACTTTTGCTAACGACGGGGCAATGATTAAATTGACAGATTCGAATTATTCAATGTGGAAATCCAGAATTATTCAATGTGGAAATCCAGAATGGAGAACTACCTCAATTATAAAGATCTATACAATCCAATTGAAGGTGACAGTGCAAAGCTAGAAGAAATGAAAGAAAAGCAATAGGACAAGATAAAAAAGCAGACATTGGATACAATACGCCAATGGATAGATGCTAGCCCGTACAACCATGTAAGAAATAAAAAAGATCTCCAAATTCTCTAGAAGAAATTAGAGAATATGCACGAGGCTACAAATGCTCAAGGAAAAGTGTTCATGACTCGTAAAGTCATGAACTTGAAGCTATCAAAGGGACGATTAGTTACACAACACCTGAATGATTTTGAAGGACTCGTAACTGAGTTAGCAGTTAGCGGTATGTCCTTGGATGACGAAATGCAAGCATGCCTACTGTTGGGATCTCTACCAGATAGTTGGGATAATTTTGTGGTATCATTGAGTAACTCAGCTCCAAATAACTCAGCTCCAAAATGTATGGTAACAATGTCTATGGTAAAGAAATTAGACTACTCAATGGTAAAGAACTACGAAGGAAGAGACAGTTGCCAGTACCAGTTTCACAAGCCCTTGTCACAGGAATAGGGGCCGGAGTGGGAGTAGAGGTCTGAGGAGTAGAGGTCTGAGGCATGAAAAGTCAGGTAGTAGATCCAAGTCCAGAGAAATGAGGAAGTGTTACCATTGCGGTAAGGAGGGTCATCTCAAAAGGAATTGTTGTTTACTCAAACAGGAGAATGCAAACCGAAGACAGGAGAATGACAGAAATACATCTGCTACAGTATCAACAAAAGATGGTGAGGTGACTTTAGTCTCTTATGATGCAGATTGCTGTCAAGTCGGAGATACAGATACCAAGTGGATAGTAGATTCCTGTGCTTGATACTACTGTGTTTCGAAAAGGGAATGTTTTTTCACCTATAAAGCAGGAGATTTTGGCATTATTAGAATGGGTAATAATAATGTTTCGCAAATGGTGGGAATCGGCGATGCCTGCGTGAAAACAAGTATCGGGTGCACATTAGCACTTATAAAAATGTCAGACATATTTTCGATTTTCGATTGAACCTGTTATCTATTAGTATACTAAACAAGGAAGGTTATCACCATCATACAGGCGACAGTAACTGGAAACTCACCAAAGGGTCTTTGGTGGTCGCGAGAGGAAAATTATGTTGCTCGTTGTATAAGACGCACGCAATAATATGTGCGGGTCAACTAAATACAGTTGGAGATGATACTTCATCAAATTTGTGGCATAGGCGGCTAGCGCACGTTAGTGAGAAATGGTTGAATATGTTGGCTAAGAAGTCCCTCGTCCCATTAGCCAAAGGTTAAATAAACCCTTATGATCATTGTTTATTTGGGAAAGCAACATTTTGCCTCATTTCATAAAAGCTCTAGATGGAAAGACAACAAGTTGGAGTTGGTACACTTTGACGTATGTGGTCCCATGGAGGTGGAATCCCTTGGAGGAAGTAGATATTTTCTAACCTTCATTGATGATTTCTCACGAAAAACATGGATATATATGTTGCGCACAAAGGACCAAGTATTCAAGCACTTTCAGCAATTCCATACGATGGTGGAAAGGGTTTCAGCAATTTCCATACGATGGTGAAAGGGAGACTGGAGTGGCATTTGAAGTGTTTGCGCACAGATAATGGTGCGTGAATATATCTCTAAGGACTTTAGAGATTATGTACGTCAGCACCGTATTCAGGTATGAAAAAAGACAATTTCCTGGTACGCCTCAAAAACACAACGGCATTGCTGAACGGATGAATCCACCATTGTTGAAAGAGTTCAGATCCATGCTTCAAAATGGGTCAACTTACCTAAACCATTTTGCGAGAGCTGGTTCAATACTGTTGTTCTACCTTAATCAACGACTACCTTCAGCATCTTTGGGATTTTGATAATTTTGATATCCTGGAGAAGGTCTGGACAAGTAGAAATATTTCATACTCTCACCTGAGGGTATTTGGCTACAAGGCATTTATGCATGTTCTGAAGGAGCGGAGATCAAAGCTTGATGACAAGCCAGTTCCTTGCACTTTTATTGGTTATGGAGACAAAGAGTTTGGCTACAGGTTATGGGACCCAGTGAAAAAGAAAGTTGTCAAAAGCCGAGACGTAGTATTCCATGAGAATGAGATCGTGACATATACAACTTGTGAAAAATCCACAAGTGATGGTGTTGTTGATATTACACTAGGAAGCAATTCCTACAGATGATGTCATGAGAGGAGGAATGCCGAGGAATGCCAGAATCAGAACGAAAAGAAGAAGAAGAGCTAGTCGCGGGGGATCAAGAGACGATTGTAGATGATAACAGTGATGCAGAGGGTGTTGAGCAGGGGGGCCAGAGAACCCCGTTTCACCAGAAGGAAGTGAACCACAGTTAAGAAGGTCAACTGGAGAATGCCAACCATCTATAAGGTACCCTAGTTCTGATTATATTTTGATTACTGATGAGGGGGAGCCAGAGGGCTTCCAAGATGTGCAATCTTGTAAAGAGAAAGATTGTTGGACAAAGGCCATGCAAGAGGAGATTAATTCTTTGAAAAAGAATGACACGTATGAGCTGGTGAAACTTCTAAAAGGGAAGAGAAAAGGGAAGAGAAGACTCAAGAACAAATGGGTGTACAAACTGAATAAAAATGATGGCAACCTAGTGAGATACAAAGCTCGACTGATCGTCAAAGGCTTTACTCAAAAGAAAGGTATTGACTTTGATGAGATTTTTTCACCAGTGGTAAAAATG